CTGTGCATTGATACATTTTGAAGCAGTGAGAAAAATGATTTCGCTGGTAGAAAGAAAAGTGGATTTCTCTGACCTCTGCATTGATATTAACAATGTACTGTGAATCTTTGCAGTTTACCAGCTCACCAAAGTATTTTGTGTGGTTGGATCATTTGTCATGGTCAAACCAAGGGACATGTTGACGGCGAAACCTGGCACTGGATTGAAAATGTTTATCAGTTACATTAAAGCAGTCTTTTGAGACACTTTGTGATAGCAACAACAGTCTCAGTGATCACTACAAACCACAGGTACCACTGATAAAATGTTTCCCCTTGTGATCTGATAAGTATTAGCAGCATTAGCCAGTTCATATTCACTGTTCCCAAACTATATAGCAGTGTCTCATAGCCTGTATCATATGACTATATGCCTTTGATTCAATTTTAAACAGCATTAAATACAAACTATTTCCATTCTAACAAGTCATTTGGTCCATTATTGAATCCTAACATATGCTACACCAAAATTGGTGGAACAAGTAGAATAGAATATTTCTCTTATTGGCAAGTTAACGTATGTCATGAAGGCTGAATCTTACAACAAATACCCTTCAAAGCTATCTCAGTATCTTTCCTTAAAATATCTTGAAACAATATTTATCAGGTGGATTCAGGAAACACTCCTCTTAGGACTCAGTAACCAACCCCTAATGCTTGTAAGGTAATAAGAATTTGTGTGCTTAAAATAGCATTTATAATTTCAGTTTAGTTTAATAGTATATATGAAGCATTTAGAAATGAGAAGCTGCTTACCTGAAATTGGTAGTTGGTTGCAGGATGTGGTGGAGCACTTATAGATCTGCCCCCTTCCACTCTGTGCATATGTTGCAAGAGGAGCACTGACCAGCAAGCTGAGGATATGAAACCAGACAAACGTGTGAAAGAGCCTATCTGTGTATACAGTAGTGAAATGAATCCCAAATCGTTTATATAAAAACGCTACAAGCTTTATTCCTCATTCACTATCAAGGACCACACCATCAACAAGATACATTTCAATGATTTATTCACTGAACTAAGAGTATGTATTATGCTTGAATCTGTTTCTGGGATGTCGTTGCAGAGTGGGGAATCCGCAGTGGCACCCGAGCGCCCCCTAGGACCCTTCGGAGAGTCAGAAATAAGAGATGGAAAAGGGGTGTGGGTTGGGGGGTAGAACACTCTAGTGAAAGGGGAGGAGGAGGTTAGCAGGGTATTTATGAAAATCCCTGAAGAGAGATAACTGAGGTGTGGTCCTGCTCCTGAAACTCTGATAACAGCTTCAAATACATTGAGACTGAAACGTTTTCTTATAGATTTTCCACAACAGCCATGTTTTGACTTACTCTGATTGTCTCTGCACCACCTGGTATCCAAAACCTGCAGCATTATTAGTGAGCGACTGCCAAGCCACAGGATCGATATTAAAACAAAGTCCAGCTTTTAACACTGAGGAAAGAAAGAAGAAATAACCATGTATTTTTTCAGATTTAAAGCCACTTTATGTAGATTGTAATTTTAGCAACTTTAAAATGTATCAGGTATGTGTTGGTTTCAGTGCACTCGTATGGTACAGTGGTGTGAATTGATGTCTGCCACAGTCTTTTTTTTTTGATAATGCCACTAGGGAGCGCCAAAGTCCGACATTTTCTTATTCTCAATAAAGTGGCCCTAAACAATTATTTATTTTAAAAAACATATTCAGGTTGAAATTTTTAGTAAGTATCTGTCTTTGTGTTTACTTTAGATTCTGATTCTCTGTAATATTTCCTCCATTCTTTAATAGCAGAAACAATACTGTTTTATCTAGGAAATACTGAGTCAGAGAGTCAGAGAGACTAACTTAAATGTAAAGATACAGTATACTACTCTAAATGGCAACATGTAGTTCTACCTTCTATATTTGCTCTTCCTGAAACTGACTGTTGTCCCACAAATGAAGCCTTCCTATTTTCCTTTTTTGGCCACAACATGGAGTTCTCTAAAAATGGCCAAAAGAGTATAGATTAGTGCGTTTAATAGTGTGGTGTGATTAGATAATGTGTTATTAAAAACAACTTCCTCTAATAGATCTGCTCTAACACATCCAATGGATACTAATATTATGTGCATTTCAAAGTGTTCCACAATGACATCATGTCTCATGTTTGTCATTGTTTCTCTGGAAAAATATAAAGATTAATCACCAAGATGACAACACCCCCAGGCTCTGCTTTTTCTTGTCACCAGTACAGCCTCTGTTAGATTACAGTAGCCTTATAAGTTTTGTAATATCCAGCATTTCTGTAAGTCACTTCATATACTGAACTAAACTAAACCACCAGTTGCGTAATATTTTACAGCTGCAGGAAGTCTTTCATTGCCGCATACTATCTGATAAGTATAAGTAGGATGTACTGTGTTGTGTATCTCACTTAGTCTCACAAGTTGTGTGGGTTTAGCAAAATGATCATGTTAACTTTCAGGGGCAGAGTAATGTCAGCTTGTCTAGAGTGTACAATGCCTCCAGTTCCACCCTGCAGCCCTGCACATATAAGCCCATATACATAATTAATGGATGGACTCGAACTAGTCCTATTTAGTTTTAGGTGTTGTTAGATTGTTGTTGTTGGATTTTGTGTGTCCGGACAAATCTGTTGGGATACACCACACCCATTTTTGTAGCATGTTCCTCCTCCAATCTTCACCAAATTTGGTAACATATTTGTCCGACCCTGACTCAATTGTAAATTAATTGTTTTTTGATATGTTATACTGTTTTCCCGTAATTACTTGCCAGACTCTTGCAGGTGTGACCTATTTGTTACAAACTAAATAAATAGGTCACTAAATCAAAGTACTAAATGACCATAACTCAGTGTTCAGTTTCTACAATTAAAACAAAGATTGTGTTGTGTCCAATTATTTTTAGTTAGGTTCAGAGAAAATTAAATACAAATGCTGAATTTTTCATCTTAACTGTTTTTCTAAGTACCATTATTACAGTTTTTAATCATTTAATGAAATGACAGGATATTTTCACTGCTGTCACAAATATAGAGACAATGGAAGACAAAATCAGGAGGTATAAACTTGTCTTACCTGACAAAAATACTGTAGTTGTAATTAACCAGTTCATTGTGATGCTCCCATGGAAAATACTATGCGGGATGTATTCTCTGAGCTTGTGTAAAACCTTTGTGCTTTCTCGCACCGTATTAACAATTTTTACGACTGAAACTGTGAAGGAGGGAGATGTCGAAAGCAAAATGCAGAAATCATAAGGTGACTGAAAGCCAAGGCAGCTAGTTTGAGGAACTCTATTGTAGGAGGGGTTTAAACATTGGTACACTTTCTGTTTTATCTGAGCACACTGTGATGTATGTTGTCACCAAACATTGTTTAATTTTGATCCAATGACTTACGCCCTAATTTTTCAAGATTCATACTCAAACACTTCTGATAAAGAACTTTAGAAATTAGTATCCAGATGTAGTAGATACTGATGTGAGGCTAACAAATAATAATTAAATAAAACCTTACCCTTAACCACAGATCTCATTGGTAGGAGTGGTGCTAAATACCAAAAAAAGGGAAGTGTCTTTAACCCACCAATGCCGGTGAAAATATGGGCTTTCAGCTGTAACATATGTTAAGGGAATAGCCTATGCAAATGTATTTTTTCATTTTCTTGAGATATTAACATGGTTCCTTTTTTCTAACAATGCTGCTGTTCCTGAGAGAGGAAGTTACATTTTATATCATGGACTGTCTGATTTTATAACTATTAGCTACTTCAGTAAAAAAAAAAAAAAAAACCTCTAAATAAAAAGGTCCATTTCTCCTTTTTGTCTAACTTCCTCTGTATTGTCTCATCCCATCTCATCCAAAAATGTTGGTAGTGTGGCACAAGAGGCACGCACTATAAGTTGAATTAATGAATTAACATACCTTGGACGGTCTAAGGAAAATAAACTAGATTTTGTATAATTACATTGTGAATAGTAAGCGTGCCCTGCTTTATAAAAAGCTCACTGCTCTCACACTGTATGAGACATTTCTATTTCTTAACCCCGCCGGCCTGATAGATGATAATTAAAGTGACCCTGCTTATTTTATGTCCGTGTCACAACTCTGCATGTTCACTTATTCAGTTCAGAACTGATGTTCAAGAAGTGAACCACTTATTCTGCTGCTGCTCACTGCTACTGACAAAGTTAATGCTTTTTTTGCCAACTCTCTGGCCATTTCCACAGTGCAAAATGTCACATCCCTTTAAGTGTGTGACCTATCTGAGTGAGAAAATTAAACAGATATAAAGTGTTGTAACTTGACTATGTGCATGTGCAACCTGGCTCACCAGTTGACCCTTTTCCTGCCGAGCAAAGGCGATCGAGAAAGGTCATGAAAAAGTCAAGGATCACTGCACCGTGTTGCTGTGTCTGGATTAGATTTCTAAGGGCAGGTTAGCAATGTTGTCACATGCTCTCTAAGCCTGTGCGTGTGTGTGTGTGCTATTACTACATACTGCATATACATCAAAGTTATCTTCCTCCACATACCCTTTCGAATGACCTCTAAATGATGAGATGCTCTGCTCAGTAGAGGCAGCAAATTTTAAGCTAACTGCAAGTCATCATATCATACAGTCATAAAATTACCATAAACTAGGATGTACAGGGTGCAGAGATATGCTTAAAAGATGCACTATTTTGTTTAAGGAGGATGTAGGGACATCGAAATGAGGCTAATTTCTTTAGTAAATATTTCTGCATAATATTTTCTACCGACCTGCCAACCTAATTGTACAATACCTTCATAGCACATTTCTGATTGTTTTCCACCCATACCTCCCACCCTAACAGTCCTGCACTATGTTGCTTTCTCTGCCATTCACCGAAACACTCTTTGCCCTTTCATTGGCCACTCACCATCATGTTACTCCAGTCCCAGTCTCTCTGAATGTCACGGGCCATCTCTGGTTGCGTCCTGTTCTTTTTATAGCTGGACAGCTGAAATGTGAGGGGTCACAATGGGAGGATAAATACAAGGGCTAGCGGGCTGAGGGGGTGTCGCAGACGAAAGCAGGATCTTCTCCCTCCCTCTCTCTTCTCTCAGCTCTCCTCCTAACCTCAAAGGTAAAAGAAACAGAAAGCATGATTGACAACTCTGAGATTACTTTTACTGGCTTTTTGTGCTACCTGTTGAATATTTTGTACATATAAAGCATGAGGTGCATGACCTTTCAGACATATACCGTTTCACCCTTTCTTTTTACTGAAACACATTTGTGGTTACTGCGGCACCTAAGTTTTATGAGTGTCACATTTCACCCTCACTCTTACCTCTAAAACATTAAAACAGACTGAAATACAATCGCATTTTTACTATTCACTAATGAATTACATTTGCTTAACTCTGCACTCTAGTTTATACTACGCACAGCAATTTACCCTCAGCATTACATTCATATATTTTCACACAAAGTGTTGTTACACACAACCCTAACTGCCATTACTAAGTAGTATAGTTCGTCTGTCCACAGTGCATCACTGGGTACTGCTACCACCATCTTTGATGTAATGCAAAGTTTCCACTCCATTGTGGCAGTAGTGACTCAGTGGTTTGTGCAAGCTCCTATTTTAAACTGTCTGTCTAAATGTGTCCAGGCTGTCTGTTTGGTAATCTGCCTGTAGAGTGTGTGACTTATCAAACAGTGGATTGTGAAGTTACACACTTCTCTTCTATGTAATGTCTATTTGCTGAGCCATAGAGGTTCCACTGCCTAGCTGTAATACACTGTTTATATTTAGTTCAGCCTATTGATAGTGGAGGCACAGACAGGGGGGATGAAGGAGGGGTGTACAGGACGTGTGGGGTAGAAGAGCAGGGAGGAGGTATGGAGAGGGAAGGGGGCAGTGAAGGGGAAGGGAAAGGTCAGGGATAAGAGGCTAGGAAATGGAATAGGTCATCCACATGCTTGTCATGTTTTTTCAAGGGTGGTGAGCTGCGTGAGGGGGTGTGGGCACAGGAGGTTGGAGGGCTCTATGACACTGGATCCTCTGTGCCACTGCATATTGTGCCTGGGGAAAAGTGTGTAACGCCAGCACATAAAGTGCCATATGGTATTGGAGCAGTTATAGCTGCAACAACTGCAGTCACACAGTCGAGACACAACATGATTTACAGAAGGTAGAGAGGCAGGAGAATGTCAAACCAGAGAGTCAGGTTCTCATTTCACCACTTCCTTCACACAGTTACCCAAATGTGTTGTCCTCGTTCATCAGCTAGTTTCCCATACATTCAATTGAAAAACCACAAGCGCAGGGTTTAGTTGAACTTTTCCCCTCGTGCTTCTGCAAAACTGTGGGCCTGTGTCTTCTCTGTCAGCCAACCAAATTTTAACTTATGTTCTTATTGTCTGACTAGAGTCAGGATGCCTCACGCATACCCCTTCCTCACTCCTGAGCAGAAGAAGGAGCTCAGTGATATTGCTCAGAAGATCGTCGCTACCGGCAAGGGAATCCTCGCCGCAGATGAATCTACCGGTAAAAAATTAAAAAAGGAAGTGTATTATACTGACTCATTAAACTATCAATAAACTGTCTATAAAGCACACAACAGAGCTAGCAAGTGTATATGCCAACTAAGCTGGAAATTCTCTGTAAATGTCTTCAAACACTCACACAAGCACACCAGTGCTTGTCCACAAATGGATCAAGTTTTCATGTCTCCACAACTTCTAGGCAGCGTTGCCAAACGCTTCCAGAGCATCAATGCTGAGAACACTGAGGAGAACAGGAGGCTGTACCGCCAGCTCCTCTTCACCGCTGATGACCGCATCAAACCTTGCATTGGCGGAGTCATCCTCTTCCATGAGACCATGTACCAGAAGGCCGATGATGGCAAGTCCTTCACCCAGTACCTCAAAGACAGAGGCATGGTGGTGGGCATCAAGGTCGACAAAGGTGTTGTCCCCCTGGCCGGAACCAACGGCGAGACAACCACCCAGGGTGAGTGAAGAACAGATGTAGACACAAATTGAGCAATGTGTCAACAACATCTTCTTATAACTTTGTCCAACTTATCTGATCGGTCCACTCACTCTTTCACAGGTCTTGATGGACTGTATGAGCGCTGCGCCCAGTACAAGAAGGATGGTGCTGACTTTGCTAAGTGGCGCTGTGTGCTGAAGATCACCCCCACCACTCCCTCAAGACTAGCCATCATTGAGAACGCCAATGTCCTGGCCCGCTATGCCAGCATCTGCCAGATGGTAAGATGCAGCAGACTGATGTTCATGATCAGTGTGGAGTCTTGACAGGTTTTGGATGGTCCCCGGAATAAGTTATTTATACCATGTTTTGGCACTGGTTGGCATGGCCATTTCAGTATATTACATATAATAATGTAATAGTGTTATGTATTTCTACTGCAAGTTGAGAGATAACCTCTGATCTAAACACTCTCTGAGATTGGGCTAGACTCACAAAGTGAAGTCTCTGTTGTGTCTTCAAGAAATTACAAAATCATCACATAAAATCTCTAATACATACATAACATAACCTAGGACGGTCTAAGGAAAATAACCCACTGCGGTTCATATTTCTCACCTTGCTTTTGACAGTTGTCATGCAGAGTGACTTTAACTCCTTTTGTCTCTGCTTTCCTCAGCATGGCATTGTCCCCATCGTCGAGCCTGAGATTCTCCCTGATGGTGACCATGACCTGAAGCGCTGCCAGTATGTTACTGAGAAGGTCCTGGCTGCCGTATACAAGGCCCTGTCCGACCACCATGTCTACCTGGAGGGCACCCTGCTCAAGCCTAACATGGTTACCGCTGGACACTCCTGCTCACACAAGTACAGCAACCAGGAGATCGCCATGTCAACTGTTACTGCCCTGCGCCGCACTGTGCCCCCTGCAGTCCCTGGTGAGCTGGATGCACATACATTTGCAAACTTTGACTTGCTTATTTCCATAAACACTGAATTCTTGATTGAACTGTCTGCATGACATTCACTCAAATGTCTGGAGAAGTGAATCACTAAACTCTCGTACCCTTCCTGTAAAGGCATTACCTTCCTGTCTGGTGGCCAGAGTGAGGAGGAGGCCTCCGTGAACCTGAACGCCATGAACCAGTGCCCTCTGCACAGGCCCTGGGCCCTGACCTTCTCATACGGTCGTGCCCTGCAGGCCTCTGCCCTCAAAGCCTGGGGTGGCAAGAAGGAGAATGGGAAGGCATGCCAGGAAGAGTTCATCAAGAGAGCTCTGGTATGTGTGATCATAAAAACAATGTTAATATACTAAAGTGAAAGTACATCAGTATGTAGTGATGTGTCATCACAAAGATGCAGCAGTAGAGTTTTTGTCAGGGAACTTGGATTGCAAGTATCAAACATCAGTACTGTATTGTGCATTCAATAACGCTGTCCTTTCTGCTTCTAACAGGCTAACAACCTGGCCTGCCAGGGCAAATATGTTTCCGCTGGAAGCAGCGCTGCCGGTGGAGAGTCACTGTTTGTGGCTAACCACGCTTATTAAGCATGGACACTCACCGATTCCCTTTCCACCTTCTTCCCAACATTATTACGTCACCATGGAAAAGGCACCACCTAACAGCACTTTTACAGCATCTTGGAAGAAAGCACAAGAGAAAGATGGGAAAAACACTTTCCCTTGAGTTGTTGATGCAGCCAGGAGATCCTGAAAAAATGTTCTGCCTCCATTCCCTTACCTTTTATTTTTTAACACCCTTTCTCAAGTGAAGATTCCCACAATGTTTTTACAAAACCTTTTTCCTTGGTTTGATTCCACCAAATCCAGTATATGATTTATACTGGTACCATTGAATAAAGTATTTACCTTAACATGTGGCTTTACTTCCTTTTCGAGTCTAGAGTTATTTCTTCTTTCTTATATATTTAATTCATTACTAAGGTCACTTGCAAATAAGGGTAAAAAGCTGTGGCTGCTGTTGTCTAATATTAGTGTGGCATAAAAAAAATGAAAATAAATAAGGGATCAGTACTTTTTTCTAATTAAAACAAACAAGGTACATCTTGAAAATTGTAATGATAGCTGTTCCATTTATAAATAAAGTATGGGTGGAAATTAGCATCATTCTCAGCTTTAAATTACAACCCACATTATAGTAAGATATTTTTGAAACTGAAATAAAACAATTGCCCTGAGTTGCTATGTTAAACCGTGCTAGCAGCGATGGTCCAGATTGAAATAGATGTGAACTGCATCTTGTCCAACAGTAGTTCGTAAGCTAACTAATGATAGAGCATACATTTTAACCAACATAATCGACATAAATGAAGATGGATGACATGACAGCTCTCCAAAAGTGATGCCAAAACATCTCGATCGCCCCCTGGTGGGTGACTGCAGTATAAGTCATAAAGCACGCTGCCTCCATGTTAGCAGATGGGACATGGGCCTAACTCGATAAATCAAAGCACACATGATGATACATCTTTTCATACCCATGTATTTCAAATGTGTTAATTTTTGTCTGGTTTTAGTTAGATAACTGAAGCTATAATCACATCATGATTGACAGGTGGGCGGGACTTACGATGTATGACCAGGACATACTGGGGTGCTAGGTAATATGCCAACCATGAGCATGCTAACCATGAGCATGCTAACAATGCCAATACTAAACGTCTGCTTGTCAACGTGATACTAAATGATTATAAAGCACTCACCTGCTGCCATGACAACAAATTGTTCTGCTACTTCTGTTTATATCTCTGCTATGTGTATCTGCTCATATGCTCAGTCTCTTACTCATGTATTTGCCAATAATTTAAGCAATGCTTGAGCACTATAGTGGTATTGCGGTCTACATGGTGTCATACTCATTGGGCCATATTCACAATCAACCAATGCATACATTTCCTTGTTTTTAATTATAAAGATATTGCCTCTAAGCAAAAAATTATAATAATTCTGATCAGATAATCACTGATTATCTAAACTGACTTGAACTGAATGTTCTGTAGTATTTTAATACATTTATGTTTGTGCCTAAGACGGCCAATAGGCTACCAGAAGCTGTGTGGGAAAATTGTCAGAGACCTTAGAATGCAGGAGAGTTAAAACATTTGGGGACCTCAAAACTGACCACACTACTGAAATGCACAACACCCCCTCAGCGCAAATCACTACAATCTAACGGAGCTCCAAAAAACATCATAATACACACAGTGTGTTGTGGCAAGATGCTTCTTGTCTTCCAGAGATCTCAAACTATTTATTCACACCTTCTTTTTCTCCCGCCTAGATTACTGTATTTTTCTCTACACATGCTTCAGTTAAGCTTCCTTAAATCGTTTACAGTTAGTCCAAAATGCAATCTTGTAAAATTCAGAATCACTACAAGATCTTCCTGGTTACGTTAAAGGCACTTAATGAACTTGCCCGCAGTTCCATTTTAGATCTCCTTGTTCCTCATTCCACTCCTTTGCTGTGACCGTGACATAACCTCTGTTTTAGCCCCATTAACATTGTGGAATCATCTTCCCCAAACACTCAATTACTTGACTGTTTTGAGCGGCTCCTCAAAACCCACCTCTATAGGCCTTTGTATAGATCTCCTTCTTTTGTTCTTTTTACTTGTCTTAGTTGTCTCTCTTTTTTACCTTATTCTTTTCTTTTTGTTTTATTATTTAATATGTTAGTATTTATATGTTCCCTTTGCATGTATATTGTGATTGTGTTTGTGTATATGTACATATAGCCTACTTGTGTATGTCTGTGTGCGTTTATATTTATTTGTTTGTTTGTGAAAGACTTTGTTATTGTGTGTTTTAAAAAGTGCTTCATAGATAAAGCTTTACTTACTTACTCACACAGTACCACATACACAAAACAAGCGTGCATACAAGTTAAAATATGTACTGACCTATATAGCCACAGCCAAGGCTTACTATAGGAGGCAGCAGACTCCCCCCTCATACTTTCGGTTTTCGTTGTCACCAGCAGCCCTAACCAACTGCAAATGCAGCCCCACACACACCAGCACACTCTCCAGACCAACACACAATACCCAGCTCTGCCCTTTTCAGTCCACAGGCTGCAGAATCAGTCACACTTGATATTAGTTACATTAGTTCTTTGCCCATCCATCCAATGGTGGTACGTTCAACACTACACAGTATTGTAATGTATATAATTCTGTAACATCCCAAGAAAATCATACAGGTTGTGAACTTAACCTTGCACGTTACCTGTTATTGGCTTAGTTTGTCAGGATGTGGAGGCTCATTTACATCTTCAAGATCTGACAAATCATTTAATGACATGAGATATAACGGTAAGACCACATAAATATGACGCATTATTACGATTTGAACCATGCCACCTGTTAAAATAGTGACCATAAGGGCCAGCTCCAACATTAAAAAGCTGATTACACATTTACTTATCGATAATTTAACACTCAGAACTGGACCAAGCTCTGTGCTGGGTAGGTAACATGTTGTACGACTATTTAAATGCTCTTTTCATGCTGAAATCTTAATATTTTTTCACCATTGTACATAATAAGTCATTATACTTATCAGTAATACCACAAATACCACAAAAATCATCAGTCTTTTATTTCAACACATTGTGACTAATAAAGCAAAACAAACCACATTTTATTTGTTGTGCACTGAAGTGCATTGTAAGTCAAGTGATGACATGATCACTCTCCATACCATTGTCTATAAAAATGGCTGGTAGATAGGCTATGTGTTAAATTAAGTTTGTGGGATGGAAAACATTAAGTGCAATGCAAAAACTTTGATCACACAAGCTCAGCTACAATAATGCAATAATTGTATACATTAAAAATGATTCAAAAGACAGACATAGCACAACACAATAGAAGAAGTAGAGACGTTGTTAGTGCAAATCTGTGCTATAGAGCACTGGTTCCCAACCTGGGGGTCACGAACCCTACTTAGGGTAGACCTATATTTCAGCATTTAGTATGCTGCTAAACCAACCAAAAAGGGAAAAATAAAACTATACATACAGCGGGAAGATTGTATAAAACATTTCTAAAAATATGAGGAAAACTCATCCCTGGTGCAATATTCAAAGGAAATAATCTGCTCAAAATTGCTAATTTTAAACAAACTTCCTGCAGTTTTTGTGTTAATTATTTGGGTTAATTGTACAGTTTATCAGTCATTCTGCACTATTATTGCTATGCATTGGATATTAAATCAAATACCCAATGATAGATAAGGGGTCCCTTAAAGAAAAAGGTTGAAAATTGTCACTGAGATGACAACGAACCCAAACTCAGTTGCAACGGTTGGTGCTGTGGCTACAGAGGTTACATTGTCTGCACTGCGACACACAAAGCTGCTGCCTTGATCCACGCCATTGGAGGTGAACTTCACAAAGCCAACACTGGCCCCCGCCACTTGATCCATGATCCAATTCTGAAACTGAGACACTCGGGCATAGACCTCAGGGAAACCAGCCAGGGCACAAGGTATTCCAAAACTGGTAATGCCAGCCTGGATCCACACTCCCCCTTGTTTGCATTGCAATGGTCCACCTGAGTCCCCCTGAAAAAGCAGAAACAAAACACAAATAGGTAAATAGTACTGCTGCTAACATGCACAAGATAAGACTGGAGTAGCCTTACCTAGCCTAGCCTGGCATATTCTCACTGACAATAACATTTCAATAGCAAAAATATAAAAGTTTACATTATGGTGCTGGTATTGGTCAAGAAGAATGTATAACAAAGAAAAATGTGTTTAACCTGGCATGCTCCTTTGTTCTCTTGCCCCGCACATATCATTTCATCAGTGATGTTTGCTTCTGATACTGAGACGTAGTTGCAACTGCACTGCTTTTGTCCAATGACAGGAATCGGAACCTCCTGAAGTAAGTCTGGACTTGGATCTGTGGGAGAGACGCAAACAAAGTTTTCTTCTTTTACATAGTTTTAAAGGGATTGCTTTGGTATTTTTGTGTCGTCATTGCACCAGTAAAACTGTTGGCTATAAATAAATCACTTAGGTTTCATGTTCTGAGGCAGGTCTGATAACAGTTTGCTTACATATTTGTAATGGGTTGGAAAACACCATATGCTAAGTTTTTGTTTAAACAGACACCCCATCTATTTTTTTTAATAATTGATTCATTCTAACTCTTCAGTCTTTACATCAAGGTAGTACACCATTACGCCTGCTGATGTGGATCCATTAGGGAGACTGTAGTTACAAGCTCTGCAGATGCGCAGCTCAGAAATAAACCAGCTCTGGCGTGAGCAGGACGCTAACTTTCGTCATCTCTCTGTCAATCCACAGGTACTGAAAAACTATTTTTCTATCTTAAGCTTGAATCGGTATATAATGTGAATGCATCATAAATTGTTTCATAATATGTAACATGATTTGAGAAGTGGGTTAAGTGTAATTTGTTTAGTTCTGTAGCTAATTGCTCAGGCGAGCGTCGTCATGCTTTGTAGTTCGGTTATGAACTCCAGTTTTACACAGTAGTTTTCTAAGTGTAAATTAACTGACATTAGCATACTGTAACAAGAGGAAATATCTAAACTAGAATGAGATGAGAGTATTTCATGTTAAATTATGTTTTACTTTCCAAGTCACTCGTTGTGACATCGTTAACCGCCGCGTGAAGTGCAAGCGTGGGAAAAAGAGTATAAGAATGTTGGGAAAGGCTTTGTGTATGTTACTTTAGTGCTGAATGCTTGTTAGCAGGATTGTATATGTTATTATATGAGTGAATGTAGGTTATAGAGTAATTGTGTCTTTTAAGTTATTATTTTGATACATGTTAGTATTTTAAGTTAAGCCAATTTTGTTACTTGTAATGTGTTACCTTCATTTTGAATTCATGTAAACTTGTTTTAATTTAGACAAAAGGTTTTATATTTATTGTAGTTAAGTTACAGCATTTGTTGTTTAGTTTGTGGAATATTTTGATATGATTTTGACATGCAAATGTGACTGGTAATTGTTTGTAAATGTGTCTGAAATAAACAAGCTCTGGCATGAACAAGACGCTAACTTTCGTCATCTCTCTGTCAATCCACAGTTTATATATCGGCTACACAGTTCTCCCTAGCCTGTGTAACCCTTGCTGCTGGTCCAGATTTCCCCTAGGTCTGGTGCCGGTAACATATTCATAATGACAATAACATGATAATGCTTAGCAGGTATTATGTTTACAATCTTAGATTAGCATGTGGACATTTGCTAACTAGCATGGGATAATGGAAATGTCATTAGTTTTAGGTATTTGGTCAATTAGCAGCAGTAACTTCGGAAACCGAAGGCATGGACCACATCATGGAGTGTAAACTGATTGCTGAAGAAGTGCCAGTTCAGCTCCTGGGCACTGTCAAGGTGCCGAAAACCCTAACTGCTCCTGGGAATGCCGATATGTGGCAGCCCATCACTCCACATTTGGATATCTATAAGTCCTGCGCATGCGTGTGTATGATTGTATTTTTGGTGTGTATAAAAAAAAAAAGGAATTAAGAATTTCCTTACTGGTGATTAATCTTCTTCACTAGATGAAAAGCATGACAGGATACTCACCCTCCTTTCCAAGATTGCCCCAGCCAGTGGCCCAGCAGGGGGTGGAGTTGTGGAACTGGCTGGAGTTATTTGCCAGGCAGATCGGTTTGATGTAGTCAGTAAACTTTACAGGGCTGCTGAGCTTCATTAGGGCAATGTCGTTGTTAAACAAGGTGTTGTTGTAGTCAGGATGGACGATGATCTGTGACACTTTTCTTTTCACCTCATTAACATTGGAGCCAGACTGAGACTGCCTTCCGAGGTACAGGGTCCATGAATCAACTGAGTTTCTGAAAAAAAGAGAAAATAAAGTCTACTGTTGCATAATAACCCAACCTGTCCTCATCTCTGCCTACTAAATAATTTCAGAAAGATATTTTCTGAATTTCTCCAATTGGCAGATATTTGGTGAAGGACACTCAGTTTCGGTTTGTTACAGTGTTGCTATGATTGCTGAGACAGTTGTCAATTATAGCTTGCTTAATACACAGCTTGCTTACTGGCTAGGCCTGGTATACTTCAGAGAGTGAGAGATGCATAGACAGAATTAACAGTAGTGAGAAAGAAAACAACGGTTTATTGTGTGACTTTAAAATGCAGAAGTGTGTATTTTGGTACAGTATAATTAGTACATTGGTTATGTGGTCACTGCAATGCATGTAGTTCTAAATTCAGTAAGAGCAAACAAAAGTAAGAAAGAACAGCTAGACTCAAAATAAGAAACCCAGAGGACCTGAGCTGGCCTAAACCATACTTTAGGTGCACTTTTTGTAGTCCACTTCCATTCCAGGTTGGGTCATACTTATATTGTCACTGGTCTGTGCAAAATGTGGAACAAACCCAACAGGACCTGAGGGAACCAGAGGAAGAGTCATAGCAACATGCTGCTCATTTTGTCAGACAGTCTTATCTGCCACCAACACCCACAGGTTTTCGGTTGAGTGTCATATAGCAACTCTTTGCTTCACACAGCCTTTTGTTTGATTATCAACAACCATCTTTCCCAAAGCAGCATTATCTGTGTGGATCTTTATATTTTAGCTGTTTTGTTATTTCTTCGTGATTTTATAGAATTGAGTTTTTCTGCAAACATTTACTTCTTCAAGCTAACTGAAACTAACTAAAAGCTCTGAGGCTAATGTGTTACTAATACAACATTCTGTGTTTACTTAAGTAAGATCTTGATTGCATAGGACATTTACTTCTACCGGAGTGTTTTACATTATGGTATTGCTACTTTTACATAAGCGAAAGATCTGAATTGAACTTGTGAAGGCTTCTATTTTTTGCAAGAGAGAAATGTAAGTACGGGATATAAAACAAGCTCTTATGAGTTTCTCTTACATTACTGCGCAGTGGGCCGCTGTGAGTACCCACTGGTCACTGATGAGGGTCCCTCCACAGACGTGCATAGCTTTGATGTGCATGCTGACCTGCCAGGGCCATGACCCAGCTGTGGCATTCTCACCTCCCACTATCTTTGTGTTCAGAGAAGCCATTCCACAATCTGACATGAGCATAGACAATGGTGTGTCAGTACATACAGTTAGGCTTATTCATGTTTTCACTTGTAGCTGTGTTTAATAAAAAGTGTTTGTTCATGTTCATTGTTATAGTGCATTACCTAAGCATTTACATCAACAAGAGTCTACATGGCTGTATGGAATATAGGAAATGTGAAAAAAAAAAAAACTTACCCTGAGCCTTTGACCCTGTAGGAATGAGGGATGAAAAAGTCACTTTGTATACATCCATGTGTGATATAAAATATTTTGGCCTGGTACAGTAATAAATACACAGACAGATAGATCTATTACCGTACCTGACCAAAATTATTTTGAGATGTCTAAAGCCAATAAATTATGAACAAAGTACTTTTGCACAGCACTGTATGTACAACCAATTCCACTCCTCAGAAGAAGTTGCACCTGGAACTGTGGAGCAGCTGGAGCTAGTGCTACCTTGTGTCTGTAGTTATCCTTATCTACTACACCAGTGGTTCTCAAACCTTTTGGTGTCAAGCCCCTACATACCCATACATACCCAGATTGAGGGTCTAGAGTGGCCCAAGACTTTTTCAAAGCACTACACATCACAAAAATATTTTGGTCTGGTACAGTAATGAACAGATGACAGAATGTGGAGCTTTACTGGAACTCAGATGGTGACATTTGATAACAGAAGGGGTGATTTAATATGAAAGGTATGTAATATTATTACACATAACTGTCCAGATTGATTATTCTGCACCAGCAGCTGATCATATTTGTTCCAGAAGAGTGCACTCATACTAATGAGTTTGATTATAATAAGAAACAGTTTCCTTTTAGATGATTAATTTCAGTACGATTTGTCTGTCATTAAGTTGTTATGTGGTTAATTGCACCTTTACAGGAAATGCTGTCTAAAAAATATTTCAGATTAATAAATGGGTGATGAACGTGAATTACTACAGATACAGTGCATACGGAAAGTATTCACAGCGCTTCACTTTTTCCACATTTCATTATGTTACAGCCTTATTCCAAAATGGATTCAATTCATTTTTTTCCTCAAAAGTCTACACACAATACCCCATAATGACAACATGAAAAAAGGTTTTTTAAAATGTTTGCAAATTTATTAGAAATAAAGAATGAAAATATATGTACATAAGTATTCACAGCCTTTGCTCAATACTTTGTGAATACTTTCCGTATGCACTGTATCTCAAGATGGCTCCTAATTTTCTATAAGTAAGCAAATGAAAAGTCCCCACAAATTGTAAATTTAACATTGACTTGTAAGAACATTCAAAGATTACAGAAATGCTGATCTGGTGGGTTCTTGAATCCTTTTAGACAAATGGGATACAAGCAAAACAGATGAGAAAGTGATCTTCCAACTGGTGAATCACGTTATATACAGTAATGGTTATACTGATGGACAGATGTTTCTGATTTAATTTTAAAACAGTGTAATTTAAAATGTTATAAATATGTTCCTGTAATTTATAATCCCAGTCTGTGAGCTCTCCCCAGATTATTACAATATTAGTACTTATATTACATAAGTAATGTGCTTTGAATCATGAAAAAGGCAAGTCATTATCCCAAACATCTTTACAATAACTGAAGCACTTGAAACATCTACATTTACACCTCTCAATGGTTTACAGGCATTTTATTATTGATAATTAAATAATGAATTGATAGGACAATACAACAACCCTGCAGTTAACAGTGACTTTATTAAGCTTATATTCACATCATATTTAGAGGTGATTTTAATATACTTGACTGTGTAAAATAAAAATAAAAATAAAATGTAAGATTAATATTTTAACATAATACAATCAAGTAACACTGCATCCTCAGAAATGACCATAAAGTTGGTCCAAAACTCTCTCTAACACTGATTACAAAAACTAAACACAAGATTTCAAAGAGAGAATGTCTTTGGTTCGTAGTAGATAATAAACTGGCAACTCAAAAGCTCACCTTGCCCAGTGAGAGCTGTACACATCAGGAGTGTCCATACAGTCCAGGCTGCCATACTGTCAACGTCTTGCCTTCAGTAAGCGCAGAGACTTTCTGATTTCCCTTTGACACTTTGTTTTATTCCTTAGAGAAACTCCTCTGAACTACTGATAATGTGCACTCCCTGCTCAAACCAGTTTTTCTTGATCCCTCAGGCGCACTTTATTACACAATGCTCACATGTCAGCTAATGTCTCATAGGAAAATTCATTTGTCTGCACTAAATGATCAAAGATTTCTTTTGAGATACCAACATACAGCATGCCTTTTGAATCTAGTCCTGTATGACCCCACAACACAGAACTGATGTTTGATCTTTAAAAAAAATTCAAAAAAAGAGGAATGACTATGTGGCTTTGTTTTGTGTCTTACAATAACAATAGTTAAAATAGCCAGCCTTTATACTTCTTGGTATACTGTCATACAAGTCCTGACTGTGTGTAGTGGTGGTACTTGTACTACAGTATGACACAGGATGTCAAGATGTTCTCCACATCTTTCCCTGAAGGTTCAGTGATGATTAATTTGAGACACTGAGTGAAGGTGTTCTGCTGTCAGAATAATATATATTACATTAATGGATATAGCCATTGATGCATCAATGTGTTAGCATCACTTTGAGGTTGCAGCTGGTAATGGTGGGACTTTGTCAGGTAGTGTAAAACTACATTACAGTCTGAATCTGTATTCTAGTGACTAAAGTTGTCAAATAATCGTAAAGTAAAAATTATAATATTCTAGTGCAATGAAATACCTTTGGGGACACATTTCAGACTAAAGACCAGTTAACTGTGGGCGGCTTGTCTAATTGTGGACATACGGTTTGGTTAAGTAAGGGTTAGGGTGTAAGGGCAAGGTTTAGTCTCCAGGAAATTAATGTAAGTCTATGTAAGGTCCCCAAAAGTGATAAGAAAAGTAAACTTCAATAAGATTGATAACATCCTTTGGTTTTCTGTACATGTTCAGTAAGAAAAAATAAAAAAAAGGACAGACTAATCACAAAACACTGATTTTCACATAAATTCAGGGAGCCAGGTTACACATCTTTGGCCTTAAAACATTATTCTGTGCTTCCTGAATAGACCACCTAAGCAGAACACCTGCTGTTTGGTACAGACAATAGTTTTTCACCCAGATCACAACACCCTCCTCACACGTTCATATAACTCACACATTTCCTGCTGTTGCTGGTGTCATCATAGCTGCGTTGGCTGCTGGCCTGAAATACCTACCAAAGTGTTAATAACAAACATCCACACCTCTGTTTCACACACTTTCAAAAGAACATTCAACCTACAACATTCAATTGCTATCACCAATGCTTTCAATTAATGCAAACATCTTCCATGAGAGATTTACTCAGTTAATGAAAATTCTGTTCTGTAAAAGAAAATTTATACCACACTCATATCAACTACGACTATTTCCATATCTGTTTAACCAGCTTTGTTTTTTAAGTAGTGGTAGCTGCCTGATACATTAATCATTGTAAGCTTAAAGGTGTCAAAAGGTTATTCTAACTACTCCGTTTGTGTAAGAACAATGGCATCTTTTGATTGAGATTATAGGCACATTCAAACCACAGCAATAATTGGTTTGGTGTCCCACCCTGTTAGTTTGACTGCTTTCATTTTACCTGAATCATGACCAGAGGTGAATATCCGAGCAAAGAAGTCTAACCAGTTAACAAAATATTAATCTTAAAAGCAAGATGCAGAACATTTGACCACACCTTCATTTAAAGGTCAGACTCAAAAAAACAAATGAAGCATTATATATTTATTTATTATTTAATTTATTTATAAAAAATACAATGCTAGGACGATCCTCCCATTTAAAGGACTGATGTGTGTAACACTGCAGCCTACTTCACCTTGACAATGTATACAGTACAAAATGTACAGGACAAGCTTATCTAATCTCACAGTATTCAATTCATATACATTTTTGTCATATTTCTGACTATCAAGCACAAAATCCAGCAGTGTTTGTGTGCAGATATTGCTACATTCAACCTTAAGTAAAACAAAGAAAGAAGAAATATATGCATTTGGACACAGATGGCACTTTTCGTCTTACTCATATTGATTTTAAGCATGACAATCATGAAAACGTCTTCACAATAGTTAAGTTACACTCCTTTCATCAGCTGGTGTGTCCTCCATCAAACCCTCATGCCCCTCCTCTTCTCCAACCCACCTGAAGTGCACTCAATCTTTCAACCAGATGAAAGGAATAAGACTGTCAGGAAAAGAAAGAAGAGAAAACATGACATTGCAATCATAGAATCGTGAGGACAAAGTACCAAACACAAACAGGCAAATGGAACACATTAATCACCTCTTTTAATCATTTTAAGACTCACTTTTGTTTCTACCTAAAGCAAAGTATAACAGAGAGGGAACAAGAGAAAAGAAAACAGTCAGAGACAACACTGCAACTCAGAGACAGAGTTATTAACCATTGTTCACTGACTGATGTGTTTTAAGAGCAATTAAAGTGCAAATGAATATTCAGAGGGAGATAAAACAGACAACACCTTTTCCTTTAAACATCAAGCACTTGTTCTGGCTAAATATTAACTTCAATCAAAGGGAGCAATCATAGCAGGAGCTCAGATAGAGTGCCTGTGTAGCGAGGGGGAAAAAAGAACCATTCTCCTGTTTTTATCCTCTTTTTCTTCACATTTAACACAACACTAACTTTTCCCCAGATAGAAAAGAGTTCTAGTCTTGCCCGAGTGTTTGCCCACATAAGCTCAGCATGATCACCCTCTCCGTTTGTTCATAGCAACACTGCACCAATGTAAAGTAGCCCCAAAACCTTGGCCAGAGGCCCTTCTGAATTTTAAGTTTGCCCACTTGTGTGTCCCTGCACATCTCCCTCCTTCTCTCTCTCGCTCTATCAGTCCTCTAGGGCTCGCTTATTTAGGAGGACATACACATATCAAGGGCCTCCTTTCACTCCTCTGAGGCCCAGGGACAATATTTCTTATTTCCCATCTGGCGGGACAAACCCGCCCACTGTCACCTCATAGCTCTATATAAGACTGCAAAAGGGCCCGAAGATAAGAAGTAGGTCTCAAGACAAGCCTGGTCATGCAGTGTAAAGTCCTCTTCTATGTCGGCTTCCTGACTTTCATAAAGCATGGTGAGTATTGTGTCATTACACACACAGGTTTGCATTGTTTCTTAACCTAACAAAAGTTTGAGATGACCAGGTGAAAAGTATTGATTCTGAGCTATCTATGTAATTTGGCTTGTAACAGGGATGTTTTACAGAATATAGTCCCAAAGTTTGTGGAGATCTTACAGTGGTTCACTGGTTGGGAGTAAAGATATGTTTAAAAGTACAGATGGGGTATGTTGACCAAATTCACACATGTCAGTGTCAACATGCACCAGACCTTTATTTAGTGTTGATTTATGGTGTAATGATCACAAGTATTGAGCATTATGTTTACAGTGTAATAGGGTTGGACAATATGGCATAAAAATACATAAAGACATGAGACATTAGCGATTTTGCTGTGCCATTCATTTTGATGTATCTTTATCCCTCGTTATATTAAGCCAGAGTATTTGATTCAGATAAATAAGCCAAAACCGCACGTTCCTGGAGGGTTATCATACTAAACTTCTTGAAAATGTACGATACTACATTACATATGACACGTTACATTGCAATGTAAAATCTCATATGAAGTGAAACCACAATTTATACACTCGGCGGCACATTTCTCTGTATACCTTACCAATGTTATCATGTCTAAGGGATTTGAGGATGATGGTTATAAGGCAGTGAAAAGTATATTGTAATTATCCGACAACATTTTTGTGGAATGTTTTGAGCTAAATGTTTTCAACAAGTTTTAAATTATTTGTACTTTTGTAGTCAAAAATAGACAACTAAGTATAGCATTAGTCTTTTCCTTCCTGCCAACCTGCTTTGATCGGCACATCTATCACACTTAAGGGGATGTGTAACATAAACACTTCATACAGAAGAAAGTTTACCAGTGCTTGCCGAGAAGTATTTATTGTACTAGTTACTAATTAAGCTGATTGGGTGGCCAGACCTGACTGAAAGGTTTTATGTTTACACTGATTCAAGGAGGTATACTGAGATTATTGATTTACGATTAAGGGTGAAAAGAAGGAATGTGAAGTGGAAAATTTCATGAAACTCAAATCCTTGACATAAAATCCCTTGTCACTGTTGACTCAGGTTTTAACATGTGCCGGTTTAAAAAAAAAAACTTGACAAGTACTGTTTGCCCAGGCTGAGACATATACTATTTGTTGTTGCAGCTGTATTGTAGTTTGTTCCTGTATTGCTCTAATGGCATTTATTAAAGGTCCAGTGTATTAGGAGGATCTATTGGCAAATATGGAATATATGCATTACTATTATTAGCGTATAATCATTTCATCGGTTTTGTTACCTTAGAACAGTGGTTCCCAACCTAGGGGTCGGGGGCCGCACTAGGGGTCAACAAAGCTTCACAGGGGGTCGCAAGACCTTCTTGATTTTATGAGGTGTGAGAAAATGTTTTAAAAATCTCAGCTTTTAGTTCACTTCTGTGAAGAACAGTAAATGTAAAGTGAATAGTCTAATAGAACAATGGTCAAGCGTCAGTATCAAGAAAGCACTGAATTTAACAAAAAAGAAATTAAAAATGTCAAAATGCATAATACAGAGAGAGAATTGTATAAAAAGTTCCCTAAACAGGAAATAATCTGAGCTAAATTAGTTTTTAAAAAACAGTACTACAAAAATGTTTTGAACTCAAATACAAACATTTAACTTTTTCCAGACAGTATTGCATTTTCAATTTAAACTGCAGTTGAAGATCATACTCAAGCATTAACCAAATATTAAAGGCACATTTCACCAAAAAGTTCACACAATCTCTTCAGTAATGTTATAGACCCTCCTGTGTTGCAGTAAGGAGCATCAATGAGTGCTGTTCAGTAAAGGCTCATTTTCTCTCCATCTTAACTTTCTTTCTCTGCTTACAGCGTCTCCGAGTGAAATAGTGGCCAGTCCAAACACAAATGCAACCCTGCCCTGCAATGTGACGTTCCCTCTTTCTGTAACGGGGGACAAAATAGACAAGTCTCTCATCAAAGTCAGCTGGATAAGTAACGGTTCGGACATCGCCTCATTCAGTGAAGCGGCGACACAAATAAAGGAAGGCTTCAGTTGGGACACCAGTGATTTTGTCAATGGGGACTTTTCTCTGACCGTCCTCAGAGCCGGTCTCGACCTGCAGGGGTTGTACAAATGCACCGTCGGCTACAACTTCACAATGCTGCAATACCGCAATGTTACACTTAGCATCCTCGGTATGTCTTTGCTCAGTTGTTGACATTTTATTGGGGCTTTAAGTGCACATTTAAACCTAAAAGCAGGAACACTTTTTACATTAATTTCTTTTACTTATCCCCTTTTTAGCTTCCCCGACTCTCTCAATCCCTCAGCTGTGGGTGGTTTTGGAAACAGAGAGCCATCTTAAATGCCATGCCGATGGTTTCTACCCTCCTCCTGTCTATTTCTCCTGGACCAGAGATGGGCAAGTGATTCAACCTCCCTACGATGTTGAAGGTGAACAGAGTCCAGATGGGTACTACATGGCTGTGGGCAACCTGACCTTCTACCCTTCCCGTGAGGACCAGAATGTGACCTTTGGCTGTAAAGTGTCACACAATGGCAGCTATCAGGAGCTGGATTTCCAACTCAATGTCACTTGTGAGTGACACACTGACATCACAATTAATGAATTGTCACGTTGTAAAACTAGAATAGCTACTTCTGTCAATCATAATAGTACAAACAGTGAGAGGAACTAAAGCCAAAAATATTTTCTTTATCTCTCCTCAGATCCCCCTTCTGTCACACTTTCTGCCCTGCCCTCGCGCTCCAACAACATTCCTCTAACTCTATACTGTGATGTGGAGGGTTTTTACCCAGAGGAAGTGTCTGTGTCGTGGCTTCAAAATGGCACAGTCCTCTCTGAGCCCCCCGCCACGGAGCAGAACCCAGATGGGACCTACAGAACCAGACGCTATTATACTTTAACCCCTGAGCAGAGGGACCAAAGTGGGAAGGTGGAGTGTGCAGTAAACCAACCTGGGGGATTGTACCCGGTCAGTGGCTCAGCTTACCTGGAGAAATTGGATCCACAAGGTAGTGCTTGACATGATCCATAAGACAAGATTTATATGCAATACATTTCACAAGGTTACACCCATTTAAGACATCTGACGGCAACAATGAGTGGCTTCCTTATAAGCACATACTGTGCTACTTTTAGAAGCAGTTGCACAAGTGTTTGTAACTTGCTTTGTCACTGCCTTTTATGGTTTCTCTCTCTGCTTCCTCTCAGATGAGCCTCCAGTGTTGACTAAATCAGCCAAAGCATCTGTGGCTCTGATGTGTATTTCTCTGGTGCTGGTCTTCCTTCTCTGCTTTGGCTTTTCTTGGAGGAGGAGGGATGGTGAGTCAGATCCTCCTTTGCAATTAAACCAGTGGTACACATCTCTCCCTTTTTGGCTTGTGAGAAGTTAAATGAAGTGAAGTAAAGTGTGTTTGTGATCCTCATCACAGAGAACGACTAGTGTGGACATATTAGGTGAATATTTAACAAGAAAAAGTTAAAAAAAAAGAGAGAGAAAAGTTAGAAAGAATAAACATAAAATATATGTAATTGTTTTCTTTCTTATCCTGTTATTCATCTTGTCCTGACCCCATGTTGGGCACAAGATATTTAAAACATATGGGTAAAGTTACTGAAACTGCAACATGCCTCTGTCCTTTATTGAAGTAACTCGACTCTGAACTGACATATGCAATAGCATACTTCCATAAACTACTGTTTTAAATTCACGAAACTGTGGTGTCATGAGCTCTTGGTCCAGCACGTATGAGGAATACAAGCTTTCAAAACAACTGTAACTGTTTCACAATAGCTGCAACCTTATGCCTCCTTTTGTCTCACTGACTCCTTTATCTCTGTTCTTTCTGCCCTCACTCAGAGAAACAAAAGTCTCTGAGTGTGTCAGGGATCATCCTCCCCCCACGCGTGATTGTAGGTCAAAAGGGCAGGGTGACAGTGAGCATTGAAGGCAGGAGGGTGGACCGAGTCCAGACTGCATGGTTCCTCAATGACACCCCAATCACTGACACTTCCTTCACAGGTAGGAGACACATCCAACCAGCGGTTACCGGTGAATAATTATTTGACCCTACTGACCTGGGTCAGTAAACACAAACTCAAGCTGTGCTGCCAAACATAGTTCAATAGAAACATTTTGAATCCTAGTAGAGATCACAAAGTTAATAAAGTTACCAGATGTGTCAGGCAGAACTTTGGGGAACTTTGTATAAAATACATGATTTTAGAAAAGAAAAGCTTCACTGAACATCAGTCAGTCACTGGCATACATAATATGTGTGGTTGGAGTTTCCAACCTCAAAGAAATAATTCAACATTTTTAGAAATACATTTACTCACTGCCAGGCCAAGAGTTAGATGAGAAGACCGATACGTCTGTACAGTAAATATGAAGCTGCCACCAGCAGCGAAACCGAAGCTCACCAAAGAATGAAAACCAGAATTAAAGAATGAAAACAACATGTGGTTTTCCTCCTTTCGTCACTGCGAAGTTGCCTAGCAGCAGGCAGAACAGGAGATTTGTTACCTTTGGAGAAAGCCAGGCTATCTGCTTCCCCGCTTCTGATCTTTGTGCTAAGCTAAGTTAAGCTAAGCTAACCACCTGCTGGCAGATGTTTCATATTGAACAGAAAACATAAGAATGGTATTAATATTCTCATCTAACTTGAATAAGCATTCCCAAAATGTCCAACTATTCCTTAATTGCTAGAGAAAATTGAAGTGGGGAATAAACAGAAGGAATTGGACAAACAGGAGTTGAAATGTGTTTGGATTGATGTAATAATAATACAATAAAGTGAATGCTGGCACATGAAATATCTTTTATTTGTATCGCAACTACTAAAACATACCATGTTTTTCTCTTTTACACTTAATTCTGCTAACAATTTACAACCTTATGCGCATAGGAACCTCCAAATCTAACTTTAACTGCCTCTATAACCCCCTAACCACCATCCATCTGCCCTACGGTCTAACTCTCACCTCCCCAGTGTCAGAGAAAGGTCCTCTGCTGTCCTCCAGAGGCGAGATGGGTTACTACAAGCTGCACACTCAGGGGCCGCTGCACTCATCTGGAAGTGGCACTCAACAGCTGATCTCCTCGCTCACCTTCATCCCCCAGATTTCCGTCCACAAGGGGGCGGTGTTTAAGTGTCAGGTCTCCTACATAGGCAAAGATAAGATTGTGGAGGAGAGGGTGTCAGAGAAGTTTACAATTCTGTGTAAGAAAAAGATTTTCTCTCATTCACATTGCCTCTATTTTTCTATGGTTTTCACAATTTATGTAACAAAAGTTTTTGTAACCTTTGTCTTTTAGCTGCTCCAGAAGTTTCAGAAATTCAGCTGGCAGAGACACAAAATGACTCTGGTAAAGTAAACAGTTCATCCTTCTGTTGTAGTTAACATGTTAAACATTCCTAGTTGTGAGAGGCTTCATCCCTATAATTTCTGTCTTTCAGAAGTAATTAGCATGACAGTACGAGCATCACATTTCCATCCGGACGTCATTACCTTCCGCTGGTTCTGCGAGGGGGGTGAGCTGAGTCCTGTGGCCTCCCAGGCTTCATCCTCCCCTCGACCCAACTCTGAAGGCTTCTTTTCAGCCTTCAGCCAGTGTAAACTGCCCCAGAGTGAACTGGAAAAGGGAGGCACTAAAGTGTGGGTCAGTGTCCACCACATCGCCTTGAAGCAACCGGTCACCCGCGAGACCAGAGGTAAGAAAGATGGGAAGAAAAGGCATAAAATTTTACATTTTACGTTAAACAATGAGTGCTGAAGTCTCCACTTTATCTCAAATAGGGTTCATCAAGAGGCCGTGCATGTCTGAAATCGTCAGCTCCACCTCTGCCACAGATCAGACCCTGGGATGTGAAATCACAGACTTCCACCCTCCGAACATATCCGTCACCTGGCTGAAGCTCAGAGATGGGGAGCAAGATGACAGAGAGGAAGAAGTGATAGAGGGAGGAGAGATGTGGGGCCCCATTCAGACTCATCCCAGACTCTACAGGGCCACAGCCATTCTGAAGAGAAGGGTGACAAATCCGGAGAAAAAGGAGAGAGGAGGAGGGGTTATTTGCAGAGTGGAGCATTGTTCCCTACCCGAGCCTATTGAGAGACACTGGAGAAATGTTGACATTGGTATGAATCATTATAGGCACTTTTACAGTCAACAACTTGTTCTTGTGAATGTTATCCTTACAATATGGATGATAGTGCTCTGAACCCACCTACTTTTATTGTTTTTCATTCAATTACACTTTGTTTGTATTCCCTTAGTTGCTCCCTCCATTCCTCCCTCGATCTCAGTGTGCTGGAGCAGCGAAGGGGTTGGTGTGTTCTCTCTCCTGTTGAAGGGAGGTCACCCAAAGGTCACATTAGTCTGGGCAGCGGGGGGACCCACTCTCTCACCATTGGTGTCCAGTGAGACAGAGGAGATCAGTGATGATGGACAGAGGGAGCTGAAAAGTGTGTGCGCCCTGGAGAGGTCCACAAGCCTGCCAAGTCAGACGAGCAAACAGCTGGAGAGACCAAAGAATGGACACGCAATAAGTACTTGACCTTAATATATACACACATTTATAGTTCAGAGGGCCTTTTCTTATATCGTTTCTTTCATTAGTCTTTCTAAAAAACTAAACAGGATGACAGAGATCAATCTCTAGAGTATCTAAAATAAATAAATATCTCACAGTGGCATTTGAGAAAAATCTAAAAGCTAGAACAATGATTTTTCTTTAGCATTAGGCTACAAATCCCACAACTCTTAGCCACAAAACACAACTTTGCTATTTAAAGGTCCAGTGTGTAAGATTTAGTGGCATCTGACGACTTGGCAATGAAAAAGCTGAAGGCCAAAGGACCTATCTAGAGCCAGTGTTTGGTTTGTTCTGGGCTACTGTAGAAACATGGCAGGCTCCATGGAAGCATCTATAGATAAAAACAGCTCATTCAAAGGTAACAAAAACACAGCTTTCTTAAATCAGGAAAATAATTCTAGTGATGTTATCAGGGGTATTTCCTTGTCAAGAAACATTTAATGAAACATGTTGCTCCTACTATACTACTACTACTACTACTACGTACTATATATAGCACTTCAGTAAATTCATGTAAATTTAAATAAAAAAAATATATATATATATATAAATACTTATTTGCTGAAATACCCCTTTAAAATGTTTCAAGATGGTTGAGCATTTGTTTTATTCAGTGCTTATACATTCTTTTGTATGAGATCTAAAATATAACCTGCATTATAAACATTTTTTTTTTACTTTATTTGTATGAAATCTGCTCCTGTCTTAATTTTGAACTGCTGTTACTTTACAGAAACAAGAGCTGCTGTCACAGACCCTGACGCTGAAGGAATAGAATACATTGATGGGGAGAATAACAACATTGACAGGGATGAGGAAACAAAGTCAGAGGTGGACGAGGACAGTGACAAAGAAAAAGAGGACGACCCAGGCGCGCTGCACATCAACAGAGTCAGCTTGAGGAGGAGTCCTAGAGAAAATGAGAGAGCGCCTTTTAGAGTCTGCGTGGAGATCACACACCCTGCACTCAAGCTTCCTGTTTATCGAACCTGGACAGGTAAGACACTGCAAACAATTTACTCCTGTAGTTTCACAGATTAAGCTTCTAGGTAGTGAATTAATAGAGTAAGCAGAACATCCAGTCTGTCACTTCAAGTTATTTTTAAACACAAATGCACATTACAGAGTCTACAGTACATCAAAACCCTCCCTAATGTCATGAGATTTTATTACACTGAACAGGAAGTTTGTTCAAGCTTTGTTTTTCAATTTGATCTTGTGTCCTGTCTTTCAGAGTCAAATGAGGAAATTTCATCTTCTGCATGAAATCCCTGACGCATGGAAGAGTTCCTCTCTGTTTCATATATCCCATGTAATATATCTAATATAAATCTCTATAGTAAATATAAAGTAGTAGTCATGGTTTTTAGGATATACAACTGTCTTTACTATGATCAACAAATGTGGTTTTGCTTCCAACAGTTCTGGTCTTTATTTATTACTTTATGTTCTTAATCAGTTACCCATTACCTTTTTTTTTCCAACTGCATGATTTTTTATAAATGTTCATATTTTTGTACAAAGAATTTTACAATAATAATCCAGTTCTGTGGATTTTTTTTTTTCTTTTCAAAATCTGCATTGGACAATAAAATCTAAATCAATATTTTTAATTTTATGTTTCTTTGGATGTTTTTTTTTTCTTTTTCTCTGTGAAAACGAGTCAACAGACGATACTGTGTTTCTGACATCTGTTGTTGGTCAACTACTGAAGTTAGTATAAGTTCTCATTTCAAAACATAGCCTACTTCTGTTTTTTTTTTCTTTTGCACTCTGACCACAGGAATGTCACTTCACTGTGCTGAACACAGGAGGTGTTGTGTGGTTGAGCTGAGTAATATTAAGATGTTAACCCTAAACCTGTTTAGAACTTCCACCTCTCAAATTATATAGCAAGTGCATCTATCATGACTGAAATGCTGATAACTGGAAACAAAATGTTGTAAAATACAGTTTTTATTTCTTGTATATGAAATTAGGTTTGTGTATTTTGTATTGTACAAAATCCAAGCAACTTTCATACATATTGCACACTATATTAATATAGTTATTATATAATATATATTATATATTATATTGTCACACACTTACGCCATATGTTTTGTACATTTCATACTGTAGGCTTCATGACCAATAAAAAACATATACAACTTTTGTTTGTATGTAATAGTGACCAGTGTCATCTGAAACAGACCAAATAAAAACTCAGTAATCATGATTCTATATTTGATGTGACTTGGAGGGATTCATTAAATATCGGATAAATAATCAATGAAACTGAAACAAATCTAAATAGTCACTAACTAGAATCTCTTCATGTCAGACCTGTGAGTGAGACTATGTAACTTTTGCAGTAAGGGGCAGTTGTGGTGTGTGCAATAATAGTAAATAAAAGATGCCTACATTACCCACAATGCAGCTTGACTCAATTCACTCAACTGTACAAATATGTTATTATGCTAGTAGCTAAAGTAGCCTTCCAGCCACTAGCCTCAAGAGTCTTTCGAACACCACACACACAGATTTTTTACATTTTCAAACTTTAGCCCGAGTTGAAGTGACATCACTTGAGGCAATTAATCAGAATTTGTAGATATAAACAGCTCATTCTAAAGTAACAAAAACCCCATGATTTTTATTTTACACAAATAAAAACATACCTATGACTATTATATTCTATTTCTGCCGATAGATCCTCCTAAATGCCACACACTGGACCTTTACGTTTGTTAACATTAGCCACCATAAGCCCAGAAAACTCCATTTGCATGGCCCTGAAATGTTATCATGAATAACCGCCATGCATGGAGTCTGTCTGGCGTCACCCAAGTTGAAAAACCATCCAGTGCTTGTGGTCATCATCAACGGAAATAATGCAGTGGTGGTGCTTCTACATCCGTTAAAAGCACAAGTTTGAACCATTGCGTCAAAACAGGACAATACTAAGAAGAGAATAGAAAATAAATAGCATAAACCCCCCTGAATGATGCATCTCAATGAGCATACATCTAAAAATGAGTACAGCGGTTTCACAGACTCTCACTGAAAGTCTGAGGGAAGTGTGATAATATGACATAAATAAGTCCCAAATGGTCATCTCTATGTCAGCACTGCCATTCCAAGGTTGAAGGTGATTTTTAACACATGAAATGCTGATTTTCATCAATTTGGCAACTTAGGTTCATTTAGTTGCCAACTCCAAAAACATATTCACTCCCCCTTTAATGACTCATTAAGGGACAGTGGCACAACATTGCAAAATCAGCCATGAAGAAATGTTCTCACACAGCGCCTGGTGGTTCTCCACCATGATGGAGAACATGCTGTGGGTAAGCGTTTCTATTTTAAAACACTTGTGTCACACATCAACTCAGAAACCCTCACACACACTATGTGGCCTGGCTCGAAGCTATGCGCACATCCGCAAACTGTGCAACACGTAGAGTCGATGCACCGGCGACTCAGCTGTGTTAATCAGCCTCTTCCTCATTATGATACACCGGACATATCTCTGTATAAGGAACTGAACCCGAACTATCAGCGGAGGTGTTCAGACCGTTTGGATGGAGCTTGCTGTTGAGTTTTCTTAATAATCTCGGTTAGGCTGATTAAACAGACAGGTTGGGGTTGATTTGTCATCACATCCAGTGGGAATTAAAGTCATATGGTCAGAGAGTCAGAGGGGAGGACGTTTGAAGATGGACAACGACATTCCCCCTTCCAGGGTGGAGAGGACTTTCTGGACAGTTTGGGTGAGCCGCTGCATCATCTAAACCCAACATGTCATGAAATATCTGCTTAAATTTTTAATGTTAGAGGCAGTGAAATGTTGATGTAGAGTCTCTCTCTTCCGGTGTCCGTGCTGCTGCTCTCTCTTTCTCTCTCTCTCTCTCTCTCTCTCTCTCTCTCTCTCTCTCTCTCGGCTATATGAATATCTCTCTCCCCCACCCACCCCCCTTGTCTTTGTTTTTGTGTGTTTGAGTTCCTTGCTCTCTGTCTCACGCAGAGGTCCGTTATTTCCTCATAATTTTCTAATCATTTCTCTGTAATTTGGTACTAATTCTAGGGACAATAGAGGCAAAATTCAGACTAATTTAGTTTAATTTGTTGTTGGAATTTACTTTTAACCCATAAAAGCATATATATATAATTTTAAAAGCATCATTCACTGACTTTATTTGTCATATATGTTGATTTGCAAACTGCAGCCAAATTGCAAATTTTTGCATGTTCTGCTGACAATTAAAAAAGTTCAGCTATAGCTTTTTTTGAGAATGGATTATTTGGTGGTTTAGCAATTTAACACAAATGATGAGGAATTTATGGACACGTAAAATAAAATGTTACTGACTTTTTTTTCAGCCACAAGAGCATTAGTGTGGTTTAATACCGAGGTTGGACAATAAGGCCTGGCTCACAGACAGTCACTCGAGCATTAACCATGGCTGTATTGCATGTGGTTTTGAGTTTTATGTCCCTGCTGTTATTGCAGTCTAGCTCACTTGTTAGACTTCCTTTGATGCTTAAAGCTGCTCTAATGAATGTTTTTATATGAACAATTGAACAAATGTTTAATGAAATATGATCATTATTACCCAACTCTGCCATTCTTATGAGCTTTTACGGGCCGTTTTAGCATCTTGCTGCTCAGTGTTTTGATTTTACAGGTTATTTACAGGTTATTTCACTGCCCCCAGGTGGCAAAAAAAAGGCCTATTCAACCCAGAGGTGTTGGATGGGGTTGAGGTTAGGGCTCTGTGCAGGCCTGAAAACCATTTATGGAACTCGCTTTGTGTATGGGAGCATTGTTGTGTTGTAACAGGAAAGGGCTTTCCCCAAAGTGGTGCAATGCTGGAAGTGCCCTGTAAATAGCCTTGTATTGTATACTTGTATTATATGCTTCAATTGCATACTTAATGTAACATTAAGATTCCCCTTTAACTGGAACAAAGGGACCTATCCCAAGACATTAAAAAAACAGCCTCAGACCAAAAGCACAGGGAGGCATATAAACAGGGTGTCCACCTTCGGCCAAGTATAATAGATCATTCCTTTTTTTTTTAAAAACACAATAATAAAGGTAAAAACATATAAGAAATGAGAACATACACAAAACATCGTTGATTAATCATTAACATAAATAAGTCAAAAGTCTCCCTTTCTTTCTCCTTATCTTTTTCTCAGTACTATATAACCGGAGCTGTGAACAGACTCCTCAGACCAGAGCCCACTGACCTCGTTAGCAATGACCCGACATCCCTCCAGGATTCTGCAGTTGACAGCGAGCCTGCAAACTGTGGCCATGCAGAGGGTGAAGCTAGCGCAAGAGAAGTCAATGAGGAACAGTCTCTTGCGACAGTCTCTGTGCTTAGCTCATCTCGGCCCGTTGTTGCCTGGGAACTTTGCACCACAGACATTGACTTAGGGTCTGATGATGAAAGCATGCAGTACAAAACCCAGCTGAGCAGAGGCAGTGAGGGCAAAGCATCTGAGGAAGGTGAGGGCACGAGAGAGGAACAGTTTGCCCAAACAGGCAATGATGATGCAGGGCTGCCTGTCGCTAATGCAAAGGAAGACGAACAAAAAGAAGGAGTTCGGAAATTGTACGCACACGAACGAGATGAGACACCGGAGAATGATGAGTCTGAAGATCATGTGAACACCAGGTCAATACTTACAGGTGATGCAATGAGTGAAGACGTGGAGGAAATTGGAACAAATGCTGGTGCTGAGGAGGAGACTGAGAGGGCACTGACACCGAATGATCAAAAAATGGATGCAACCCTGACAAAGATCCAAGTAACGGAAGAAGACAATAAAATGTACCATGAAGATGAACAAGATTTGGAGGCAGAAGACATTGAAGTACAATTGTGCACGATCACAGATTTGAGTCTAGAAGAGGAGGATAACATGCACATAGAAGAGGCAATGGTGCAGATGGATCAGACAGATAGAGCAGCGACAAACGAGGACGTAGAAAACAATGATGGTGAGTTACTGCTGGCCTCCAAAAATGAAAACAAGTCTGATGAGGGAGCAAATTATGTTGAAAATCAGCTGTCAATCTGTGAACTCTTGTCAGATGACAACAGAGATTACAAGGGAGACCCAAGCTTCACTACACAGCATGTTGAATTACAAATGGCACACGACAAAAGTGGCATTGTTTCTGAAGATGATTTAATAGTTGTTGGACAAGAGCATGTGATGGTTCATAGAAGTGAAAGTGATGAAGTTGAGGATATGAAAGAGAAGGAGGATGCAAGCACATTGGATGAGAGGGAGGAGGGTCCTGTCATTGAGGAAGAAAATGTGAATGATGCTGCAAACAGCCAGACAAAAGATGAAATGCAGGAGCAGGAAGATGACATCAAATCAGTTACAGAAGATAGTCAAGAAGAAGACATTTCAACTGGAAATGTTACATGCAGCGAAGAAGTTGTACAAAATGTTCAAACAGAGCTGCATGCAGCTATATTCACAAAGCGAGAGGATGTGGCTAAGGACACCGAAGTGCAAACCAAAATAAGAGAAACAGATGACGTTGAAACAGAAAGCCACGGCAAAGTGTTCGATGTAAAGTTTGATGTGACAACAACAGACATTTCTGTAGCAGAGATATGTTTTGATAAAGATCAAGTAGAAGAGGAGAGCCTCTCCAGTGAAGTAGGAAACAAAGAAAGTTACTTGGAAGTGGTATGCACAGCCACCTCAGTTACAGTAAAACCTGAAGGCGAGACTGGACAGGAAATAAGTGGAGACTTTAAAAATATTCCCGTGGGGATATGTGAAGGCCGGCTTGTTGTGTCACAGGAGCTAAATTCTCCAACATGTGAGGAAACACAAGAGGGAGTTCCTGAATACAACAATGAGCCAGGGCCAAATGAAAACACAACACAAAGGTTCCTGGAAGTAAGAGCTTCGGGGGAAATCCAGTCTATGCAATTTCCAGAAGAGATGGAGAGCAAAGAACCCGAGAACCTTCAAAACAGTGGCTGTAGCGCTGGAGCTGAGTATTTACCATTGAGGGAGCATATGGAAGAGGAACAAGAAAGCACAGGAGATATTAAGAATAGCTTTGATCCGGTTGTGGAGGAGCATGCTGAAAGACTGCGCCTTACTGATGCTGGATTGCCTCAAGAAACGGAGACACCACTTGTTGAACCAGTAATTCAAGAATCTGGACTTTTATTTGAGGAAGAGGAAGGAAAAGTATTGCTTTACTCAATGAAGACAGGGATTGAACACTCAGAAAAGCAATTGGAGACCCACAGTGGCTTAACAGATGAGAGCGATAAGACAACAGAAGAGCTGCAAGATGGTACTGAGGAATTGTTGGTTGAATTTGAGAAAAAGGAGAAGCTATGTGAATCCAAAGAAGCTGAAGCTGCTGGAGATGGCCATGAGGTGACAGGAATTATAACAGCAGTGGAAGTGGTCGGATTCACTGATGAAACCTTAAAATTCCTTGAGGCTGAAGAAGAGAAAATGACAGCGATCAGCTTCTTTCAGGAGTCTGTAGATGCCATAAACTCGGAGCAAAACAGCTACCAGACACATAGTTTACTAGAAGACTTTAATGAAACTGGACTCCTGAAGCAGTCGGCTGAGACTGAGCCTAAATTATGTGAAGATAATACTGTAGAAGTGCAAGATGCAGGGATACATATGGAAGAAACGGTTTATGGAGTTGAGGAGGAAGCAGCAATAGATGAAATGTTGAGCAAAAATGAGATGGAATTTTTAAATCAGCAGGCAGTGGGAATGGCAGCCGAGCTAGTCATAGAAAGGAATGAAGAAGAGAATGCAGAATCTGAGTCGTCTAGAATAGTTGAGACACTGGAAACAGAAAATCAGCTATCAGACGAAGCACTTGAGATGAGCAGTGAGGAGTCTGAAGCAGCTGATGAATCAATGACAACTGAGTCCAAGCCAAAAGATTTGACTGAAATATCAGCAGAGGAAACGGAAAAGTGTGTGACAGAATCAGACAGGAGTTACACTAAAGAAACAGTTAGCCCAGTCAGTGGATGTCCAGATGTGATTGATGAAGAAATCCTTGACTTGTGGATAGAGACGGCATTGTCAGAGGACACTGATGATGTAAAACAAGAAGAAGACCCTGGACAACAAATAGACATGGAAATGGAGCCATCAAATGAGAAACCAGATGAAATGTCATCGGTGCAGAGAGAGAAGGTTAGAGAGCAACTTGTGGGGTCAAATTCAGGAGAATCTGAACTGGTGAGTGACACAGAAATGTCTTCATCAACAGCAGAGTCTGGATTTTTGGACCAGTCTCTTAGTGAATGGGGCACACAGAACAGTGAAACTCAGCTACTGAAATCAACCAGCACCGGGTCATTTCATGGCATATATGACATGTCAGTTAATATGTCAGAATCAGGAGACATCTCTGAACTGTCTACACAACAACCTAACTCTGAATCTCAGGATATATTGATGGAGGAAACAGCTGAGACAGTGCAAACATATCTGAAAGAGGAGGAATCAATCACAGAGACAGGATTTCACCCTGATTCTGGAGTTTCTTCATCAGAGGCTACACATCTAGATCAGAAATCGGATGAATCGCAAGAAAAAACAGATGAAGAAACTGGATCACAGAAAGAGATTGATGCTGAGGTACCAGACCCAGCAAGGAAAACTGAATGGAAAGACACTGAAGAATCAGATGTTAAGTCACTGAAAGAAATTACTGCTATTATCGAAGTCGAAGAAACTAAACTTGAAGATGAGCCTCTTGTGTTAACTGTCTCTGAACCTCCAGAGGGAATTGAACACACTGAACCAGGACGATCTAGAAGTGGCTCAGAGACATTAGATATATCGACAGAAACTGGATCACAAGGCGACACCTTCACTGAGTTAGAGAAGACGTTGTTCAAGTTGCCCTCACTGGACAAACCACAGCCCACATGGTCAGAAGATAATACCGATCCATTACCTGGGCTGAATGAGGCTGTAGAACAGCCAACAACAGAGTCTGAAGACCAGATGGAGGTATTGTTTCATATTTAACATATTCAATTATAAAAATCTTGAATGAAACTACACAGATGGTGTGAATTCAGTTGTTTTGGTCACTGCAGGTAGATGCCTCTGGGCTGGACTTCTCTGCGCAAAGGTCAAGAATTGCTGTTAAAAACCCTCTTGTAAGGCCACCAAAAGATCCCCGCTCTCTGCTACTTATGCCCTCTGTGGAGCCCACACCCTCTTCACGTCTCCCAGTCAAAGTCCCTGCAGGTCTGCCTTTGGGAGGCTTGGGCATTGGAATAAAACTGCCTGGTAGGTCACCTACGACACATGGAAAGTCTTGTGTCTTTCATGTCCAGTTATAATCTGTAAATAATGTCACACATCTTTGTTTTGTAGGGCTTGGTGCAGGTTTTCCGGTCTTAAAAAAGACACAACGAATAGTGAGAGATGAAAATAGCCCTGACACCGTCTCACAGGTACTATTAATAATCTTTTAAAACCTCCTTTATCTTATGTTGAGGTTTGTATATTAATCAAATGTCATATTGTCAACAGGAACCTGATGCAAAGCCAGCGGAGAAGAGTGACACTCCCAAACAAGATGAGATCCAACATAAACCTAAATGGATGCCACCAAAACATCCAGGGTAAAGAGTATTGATATTATTATATTTAGCACCAAAGAGGCATCTTATGTTCAAACATTTTCTGATTCTTACTTTTCTCATACCTCCCCAGGTTTGGAAATCCACTTATGTCTGAGCTGAAGACCAAACTGAAGAAAACCACAAAAGAGTGACAAGAAGATGAATTTCTTTGTGTGAATAGCTGAATATAATATAAAAATTGCTTTATTTTTTATGTACCTATCAAAGTGGATACAATGTTGAAATGTCAATTACTTGCCTTATGTTTAACTTTTGTAATAAAGCTTAACTGAAAAAGGAACGGTATTTTCTTATACAAAAACTCTTCATACCGAGCATCTCTGTGTTATTAGCACACTCAATCATCATGGCCTCAAATCTCAATCAGTATGGATGAGAGCTGGTGATTGTGAAGGCTACATCATACAAGTCACATCATTTTCATACTTGTCAAACCATTCAGTAAGCCTTTGTTATGCTTTTCCTACTTTATTAAACAGGTTTTTCATTTGATTTGTCTATTTTAAAATGAGCTTTGCTACTCAACATGAACATGCTTAACTAAAACATTTTTTTCATTAGACAAAAAACCAAAACATTTTTAAGTTGGTATTTGTATTAATATTTTGATATTAGCGTTAATTTTAGTATCAGTGTGATTACACAGAACAAATACTTGAGCTAAAATGTATAAATCAATTGGGGAATTTGAGAAAGGAAGTTGTATTAGAGAGCTACTAATTTTGATAAAGAGTATTTGAAACCTTGCAGAAGACGGAAATGACAAGAATGTATTTAAATTTAAATTTGACTAGTTTTATCTAGACAGTAGGTGGCAGTATAGCTCCCTGTGTGGAGCTCACGCACTCTAAAACCCACGAAGAAGAAGCATTCAGCTGTGATTGGTTGGAATCATCCAATGAGTGTGAGGAAAACTGACATTTGAACCAGAGCGGCGCTGCCGTGGTTGGGATTTCACAAGTTTTCGGTGTTATTTTGACATTCACTTGACGTTAGTGGATAAGTGTGTCCATTCAACACACTCGAGTCTTGATAAAACTATTTTAAATATTTCCACAGACATAAACTTCCACCAGAAGTGCCTGTTGAGATCGGTAAGTCCAAGTTGTTTATGTCCTACCAACTAACGTTACTAACGTTACTATGAACTCTGTAGATTCAAAACTATTGTCAGTGTTATTCCTGAACTCGCCACGTTGCTTATGTTAATGGTCCCTCTCTGTTGCCTTGCTGCAGTGTTATTAGTGTTATCTAGTTAAAGATGTGTGTTTTCGGCCGACCTACACTAAAAGCAGATGTTCATTAACATTAGTTAAACCACCTGCAACGTCCTACAGTGATCATCATGTACTGTCAGTGCTAAAGTACATGACAGAAGTGGATGAAAGTGCTCATGTGCTCTGTGGTCTCCAGTTGGCTTTGTTTTATGATTATAAAAAAGGGTTTGTGTTTTGATTTGTCTATTTGTACCCACTTGCTGTTTTTAACTACCCTCAGTAGCCTGTAGATAACATGTTTTAAAAGTCATAGTAGTTTGTGCCACTAAAATGTCAAACATTTGAGTCTCAGGGCTGGAAAAAAATGTGGCATATTGGCCCAAATTTAGTTTACATGACTCAGTATGTAAAAGTGAGAATGTTGCATTAATTAAATTGTTTAATCCACAGGCTGCAGGCACCGAGAGTCTGAGAAGACACCTGAAAAAATATGTGTCAAGAAGTCTGAGTAGTGTGCCCCGTCTCAAAAAACCAAACAAACAAGAAACCCTATTATCCTCGTGTGAACTCAAAAGAGAAATTATCTAGAATGGCCAATGAGACAACAATGCAAACCTCATGTAGTCAGGAAGGTCACGAGGTTGATGAATGCCGTGAAAATATTCCACCAGGAGTCACTGCAGCTGGAAAGCTCAAGGTCCAAGTAGGAGATTCCTCTACACAGCCAAGTGGAGAATTCGAGCCTCTCTCTGACACCTGCACCTTTTCAACCCCAGCTCCAACAAGCAGCAATGGTGGAGTTAAGATGAAGTCACGGCTCTCTGGTCTCCAGTCTGCTCTAACACCAATTTTAAAATACTTAAATATTGGCAATAAATGTCCCTCTCCAGAGCCTTTAAAAGATGTAAACAGTCCTTGTCAAAAATCAACTGGAGGTTCTGGCCAACATCCAAACTCGGATTCCTCTAGAAGTCATTCTGGCCAATTAGGTGACATGAGTGCTCCTGTCTGCTGGCTGAATGACGAATACTTGCCAGAAATTACTCTTCTTGATGTTACGAGTGATGCCACAATGCAACTGACTAGAAACGATTCAGCTCTCCCTAACAGTGTACCAGCTACACCTGTAACAGCTGGGTCTGTGAAGAGCACATTTAACACTCTCCAGCCTTCCCAGTTGACTTCCTCTCATCAAATATCCTGTGGCAGTACTATTTTAGGGGAAGCCAGTGCTACAACCCAAAACGACACTTTCAATGCAAAATCTCTATCTAAACAGAATGGCACAATAACTGTGTCAGAAACAAGTTCAAGTGACAAGCCCTCTCCTCCTGCTATGGTCTGTAATGCTACAGGAAACCATTCTCAACTGTCAAAACATTATGAGACAACAAGTAAAGACCCTAATGCCAAAATGGACATCCCTGAGAGCATAGATGCTCCTCTGCGCTGGCTAGATGACAGGTACTTCCCAGAAATTACTCTCCTTGATGTTACACGTGATTCAGAGTTATCACCAGGAGTGGAAATATCCTCCATGGAGGTCACACAGGATATGTCCCCAGTGGATGGTTTGCAATGCAACATACCTTCCTCAGAGTTCAGTGGACAAATTGTGGCAGAGCCTGGCACATTGGACACAATCAAAAGTGAAGATTTGTCAAGTACTCTAGATGGCAATGCCACTCACACCATAAGCTCCTTTGGGGAACAATTTGGTGAGAAGTGTGTGGGTGAAAACATACCAAAGGTTCCCTTGGAAGTAACTCGGGATATTTCTACAGGCAGTGTTTTGGAAGATAGTCAGCCTTCAACATCAGCTGAAGACACACTTGGTACCCACCCTGCTAATGTTACCCATGACATTACCTCCTCCAGTGACATGTCTGTTCAGTGTGCTGCATCACAGTTCTCTACTTCTGATATGCAGTGTAGCACTAATTCAAAGAATGTCACAACTGAGCTTCCTGATGAACCTGTTGTGACCACTAATACTGTGGAAGTTAACAATGAAGAGCTACTCACCAGCCATGATGCTGAGTTGACCAGCAAAGTGCCACAACCAAGCTCAAAACCAGGTGGGTCTGTAAATGGCACATTTACCATTGCCGAGCAGTCCAATCTGAGCACCTCTACCAATTTAAACACTACGACTCAAATACCGTGCCCTCAGAGTAAGACACTGGATCTTGCCCCATCTAATGTAAACAGCCCCAAAGTGGAAAGCGACGGTAGAGATCAGGCTTCCTCAGTCTCTAATAACACCACTGAAATTTCCCCTGTTATCAATCGTGGTTCATGTGATGTGCAGAACATCACTTTTGATAAGCATTCTCTTCAAAAATCCAGTGGCAATTCTATTTTAGGGCAAGCTGGTGCTACAAGCTTTTGCCTTCAGAACAACACTTTTGATACTAAATCTCCTTCCAAACAGAACGGCACAATAACTGTGTCAGAAACGAGCTCAAGTGACAGTCAGCAGAACACTTCGGACAAGCCCTCTCCTCCTAAAGTCTGTAATGCAACAAGTACCCCCAAAGACAACAATTCTGAAGTCCACCCTCCTGAACTGTCAAAACATAATGGGACAACAGCTAGTACAGACACTCATGCCAAGATGGAGGGAACCCCTGAGAGCACGTTTGAAGTTAATCCAGCTGTGGAGGTAGCTTCTGGAGATGGTCGACGTGAGAGTAAAGATCATTCACAATCAGGTCTGCCCATGAGATATGGTCTTTCCGATACTCTGGGCCATCAGAGCATGGATACAGAGGATAACAAAGCTAACACATTAAATTTGGATGATACCCTTGATTTAAGGGCAGATGCTTTGATTACTTCAACACCAATGACTAACTGCAAAATGTTCAACTTTTACGATGAACAACAAGAGCGCAAAACCATAGGGGCACAGAAAAAACTGTACGGGGACGGTCCCAGTAAGCCAGATGGCCAGGCGCCATCAGACGTTCCATCAAACATCGTCTGTGACCGAAAAACATTCTTGACGCAAACCTCTGCTAAATCCGTTTTGCCTCCTTTGAAACCGGCATCCCAGTTGTTGAAGTACAAGCCAGCCTCCATACTTCCAGGAAGGTTTGAGCTGCTGACATCAGGCCTGCCCATGACGAGACAAAGAACCCAAGCCGAGGCTTTAAGAAATTCTGATGCATCCCAAGCGGTAGGATTTTTAATGTTTAATGTCTGTTGTGTACATGTTGGCAACACATTCTCTTTAATGAAATAGATCAAATTAACATTTCATCTGTTAAAACTACTTTAAAAAAAAGTGAGACCAGCCCACTAAACATAAGCATTGACTCTGTATTGATGACTTCCTTTGTTTTTGTGTATTTAAAGACTGCAGGAATATCAACCTCCTACAACCTGCGTGCTACAACAACAGGTAGGCAGTGTGTATTCTGTTTTTAGGAAGAGCTTGGAAGATTGCAGTTTTGTTCTTCATAAATGTTGAGGGTGAATTATTTAAAATATGGCGTGAAAATTGTAAGCATCCATGCACTCTAAGAACTAATGTTATCATTTGTTTCTTGTTGTATTTTCATACCTTTAGCTACGAATAATGGCCACTAAATGGGAGGTGTTTGTGTGCACAGTATCCATTATCCACACTGTCTTCCCTCTTTGACATTAGGATCCAAGCAGCCCAATTCTGGCATGCGGAAACCGCAGTTGAGTGGCATCCCGTCAGGCATCCAGAGAGCTGCAGCAGGTCTCAGACTGCCATCAGCAAGAAGCAACGCACCAGCTTCTTCAAGCACTGACAAACTCCGTGGACCTACAGGTACTCATACAGTGGTCAGACTGTTCTGATATTCAGTCATAAATATGAAAAAGAAATATACATACATTTGACAGTTAAGAGTTTAAATTGGGTCTCGCTGTACATACAATATTCCTATACAGTTGTAATTTGAGCCCCAACAATCAACAAGTAAACAAACAAAAATCAAAAGGAACATCTAGCAAGACTTTATGTGGCTACATTTTTACCTGTCCAACCAATATGTATATTATTTTATTATTTAGTTTTGTTTCAGTATTGCCATTAATGAGGACTGATTGTATGAAGTATTGTTTGCTGTCTTGTGTAACATCATTAATGGTGATTCATTTGAATGTTTTTGTGTGTCTTTTTTTTCTCTCCATGTTTTTATGCAAGCAGCTACTCACCCTGCGACGAAGATTTTGCAAGCAAAGAAGCACTCTTTAACCAGAGGTGAAGCTTTGCCAATAGCTAAGAGGAAAAAAATGGGTAAATACAGAGTTGCTGCGAAAGGAACGCTGTATTCATACAGCTGTTTTCTTTTGCATTTTTTGTTTTGACAGGCATGGTTAGTATTTGCACAAAAACTAACTGACAGCAGTTATTGTGATGGTGTTCAAAAACTGGACTTTTCTGAGCTCATTAAATGTACATAACTTACTTGCCTCACACTTTTATCTCATCTTTTCAGATGCTCCTTTACCACCTTGTGCTGAAGTTTCAACATCTTCCTGTGATGCAGCAACCCGAGCCAAAAACCTTAAACGGCCCGCAACCAGTCAGAGAGCTTTACCAGCTAAAACCCCGAGAGATGGTAGGGTGGGATTGTATCATACTGTTCGGTTCTGTGGAATAATCAAGCCAAACTGTGGTGTAATTTGTGTTGCTGGACTTACTGTGAATTACCTGCTCTTTATCTTTACGTTTTCAGCTGTTGCAGTGCCAACCAGCACTGCTGAAACATCATCATCTTGCAGTGCTGTTAGCAGAGCCAGAGCCCTAAAGCAGCCTGTAACCAGCAATAGAGCTCTGCCACCTAAACCCCAAGGCCATGGTAGGTTGAGTGCTGAGGCCACTGGAGGGCTTATGGGACTAATTGAATCAAACCTCTGATGTGAGGTGCCTGCTTGAGTATAAATTGCAATATTAAGATAGACCAACCATTAAGATGAGGGCAATGAAAAGTAAGTAAAATAGGATGTAGAGACAGGTTTGAGTATTTCAGTTCTGGATAATAACAAATGCACTAGCATCACCATGACCACAAACTTTAGCGTTAACTTGAGGAAGCAGGAGTATTATAGGGAAGTTATAAATTAGGTAATCACACTCACTAATCCACGTCTTGATATAGATCAAATTGAAAGAGAGATTATTTCACGGGAATGTAATTATTCAAATTATATTGCAGGTTGTGCCAAATGTGTCGCGCTTGAACAGCAACTTGAAATGAAATCGGAGGAAATAAGGAGACTGAAAGAAGGTATGGATTGTTACTGTGCTTTAATCTTAATTAATTTGTTGCAAATTATTTAGGAAATAGCATGCTGCAATGTTCTGCAATGAAGGACATCTCAGTGTTTTTTTTTTTTTTTACAATCCCTCAGGTGAGTTTTCATTATCTGTACCGCTCATCAAATAGTTACCTCAGTATTCACAACATTGGGAACAGGAAGGGTCGGTCCCAGCTTGGTTTAATTTCCTGTTGTCAGCTCTGTCACATCATGTTGTAGCTGGAGTATTAGGTTGTTGCAGAGTGATGTATTGTTCTCATTTCTAAACTTTGTTCATGCTTTTTAGGCTAATAGAGTTTTTCCTTATTAGAAGGAGTTTTGAAATTGTCGTTAATGTAATTTTCTTTTCTTTTTTTTTCCAGAGCTGCTGAAGTACAGTAAACCAGAGGAAGAATGCTGATATTGATCCTGTTACATTCCCAGTGTGAATACTTAATATAATATCTGCAATCATTCATTCATAAATCTTTTAAGTTACAGTTTAACACTGTAAATGTTTTTTATTCAATAAATGCATCAATAATAAATATGCTGATATTTAACACAGCTTAACTCATTTAACTCAATTGTTTAACACAATGTACTGTATGTTGAGACATTTTTTGGCGTAGTGGCTGGCTTTGGGTAACCAGTTATTATATTATTGAAATCTGCTCTGTTATAATCTGCTCACAGGAAAACTCCACACCCCGAATTGGATTACAATCATAAAGTGAACCATACATACTTTCAGGTGCTTTAAAAGAACATTGAAAGGACCCGATGACGCTTTGTAACAAGGCTGAAACCGTACTTTACCCAATGCCAGTGTAAATATTAAAGTATATTAACGAACGATGAAATGAAGATACTGTATGTGTGTATACCTTCTTACTCTGAGATGCTTCATGTGGTCTTTAAAGTATGCATGTATCTGAGATGTTTGAAATAAATATGCTGTGAATTATCTTAAGAGTTTGTTGTGCTTTGTATTTTATTATTATCCCAATAATGTCCAGTGAACTTACATTTCCAGCCGCTGGGTGGCAACCTAACCCCTCGCCATTGTGAGTATGTAGCTCTGCTGTAGGCCAGCCCTATGCTTTGTTGATCTACAGCTCACTTCCTTTCCCGACGCAAGTACCCGGCAAGGCTGTCGCACGCCTCTACTTGTGGCCGCTATACAGCAAAACTGGATTTTATAACCATTCAAAGCAGACAGACAGACAACAGGATAACTTTCACAAGGACGTAGGTGGGTCTGCCTCGATATTTGGTTAAACTGTGGGTGGTTATTTATCGTTATAGTGAATTATATTTACCGGCTACACATGCCGTGAGGCCTGGTGCTACGGGCGTTAGCTTAGCAACAACCCCGCGCCACGTTAGTATATCATCAGATATACATCAACGTTATCTGGTTAACTTACAGGCTAATGTGTGTGTGTTTACATTATGTGGCTTGTGTTAAAACTATCCAGTGTGAGACCTGTAGCTGCACCGGTTAGTGTTCAGTTTTGTTGGCGACAATCCGTCTGTCAACGCGAGATAACTTTAGCGTTAGCCAAGTGGAGGTTGCCGTCGCACAGCACGTACGGACGCAGGATGCTAACCAACGTCTGTACGCAGCCCCAGTATTGGTATTACGTAACGGTAACCATAGTATCGTTTATAATCTTTAATCTTAATTTTTCCAGTTGTGTGTTGGCAATGATGCAGCTTAATTGAGACACTAACTTTAATTGGAAAGTGGAAAACTACATGTTCAACTGGAAGTTCCTTTTACCCTCTTTAGTCTTGCCTTCATGAGATTAACAAATTGATTCAACATCAGTAAATTATTAAAAACTGAGTGTTCATGCACCTGATTTATTAATATGAAGTGAAACTGTTTTCTGGCAACATTTAAATGTTCCCATTTCATATAGCACAGATGTATACAGATGCTGTAATCTCTTTAATGCCATTCCTCACATGTGTAATTTTGTTTTTACAGATTGACAGCTTCCTTCAGCAATGTCTCGTTTCTTTGCCACCGGGTCTGACAGTGAGTCAGAGGAGTCCTCATCCGCCGATGAGATCACCCCTAAAGCACCCGGGACAACTTTCAAGCAGTCAGTGCAACTTACAATATATCCTATCATCAGGATTCAAATCCCACTTTATGTAGTAATCTCACACATCAATATTGTTTCACAGGTCGTTGCTTCTCAGTGACGATGAGGAGGACACGAAGAGAGTGGTGCGCAGCGCCAAAGACAAAAGGTTGGTGTGGCCTCTCCTTTTTGAAGCAACATATACTTAAAACTGTACACTTTGTCTGTCTTATTAGTTTTTGGTTTTGAATGCGTATATTCTTAAATCTTAGATTTGAGGAGTTGACCAACCTGATCAAGACTATCCGCAATGCTATGAAGATTCGAGACATGGCCAAATGTTTGGAGGAGTTTGAACAGTTATGTCGAGCCTTCCTCAAAAGCAAAAATATAGTGGACAAAGAGGGTGTTCCACCCTTCTATATCCGTCTTCTGGCCGACCTGGAGGACTACCTGAACCAGGTCAGTAGCCCACATTTAAAACACAACTCTATGATTTAGCAGCTTTGTAATTTAACATTGTATGTTTTGCTGTGGCTGCAGTAAAGGGAAGTACATTAACCTCGGTTAATGCAGTCAGATAGATCCCACTTTTCTAGTTCAGTGGAACTAATTAAGATTATTTTCTTTTCAGCTTTGGGAGGACAAAGAGGGCAAGAAAAAGATGAACAAAAACAACGCAAAAGCCCTCAGCACGCTACGTCAGAAGATCCGCAAGTACAACAGAGATTACGAAACGGAAATAGCTGCATACAAAGAGGTAAATTTTGGTCTTTCTTTGGTCCTGTGCTTTAAAACATACAGAGAATATTCAGTTTAAGAGATTGTTATAACACTTCTAGATTGAAGTCAGTGGTTAGAGGGTATTTAATGTGTAACATTGATCTTTGTGTGATCGTTAAAGAGGTACAAGCCACCCATTTTGCATTGCCACCACATAGATGTCAGTGGAACTGCTCATTGGGCTGCAGATCAGACTGTGGCTGTACTGGGCAGCTTCTGTGTGTGAATGTGTGTTACTATAAAGGTGGATTGGGCAGTTATGTGATGAGTGAGTCTGGATACACAAAGATAAAGTATCAACTCAGTGTCATCTGTTTCTGTGTTAGAACCCACAGGAGTCTGCAGATGAAGAGGAGGAGAAGGAGCCAGGGGATTCTGGTAAGCTTGCTGTTTATACATGTTTTTGTGTTAAATCACAAGAACTCTATAAAATGTACAAGAACATAAAACAAGCTCCAAGTTGTTCATTCTAACATTAGAGTACATGGGTGAAATGTTTCCATATTAATAGGTTTGATGCAATTACATTAAGAATTTAGTTTTAACCAGAAAATCGTAGGTAAGAAAAGTTTTACTATTTGCCACAAAGCAATTTTTAATTTTACAAACATTTAAACTTTTTTATGCTTCTATTAAAATCACAGGTGACCAATGTATAGACATAATAACGGTGGTATTGAAGAAGTATCATCTCTAAAATTCATGCTATTTTTTGTTCTACAAGGCTCTTCTTCTGACAGCGATGCAGAGGGAGGCGAAGACGGAGTGTCAGCCAAATCCTTCTTAAAGAAAAAGCCCGAGCCTTCCTCAGAGGCCAGCAAGTTCCTCAAGTCTGCCAAGGGATCCGGGGTAAGAGGCCAGCGTGCAATATGAGAGTTTACTGCAGAGAGAAATGAAATCTGGTGCAAAAGACCTAATTCTTGTACTCACAAACTACTGTTTGAGGGGATGCCTGAGCTAATGTGCAGGAGTTTTCTCCCTCTGACAGGATGAGTCCTCTTCTAGTGATGATGATGACGACGACGAAGACTGGGGCTCAGACACTGTAGACAGTGGCAGTGAGAGCTCGGATGAAGGGGAGGGAAAGAGCGCTTCCCTGGCTGTGGTCTTCCTCAAGAAGTGAGTCTCCGTCTCTACATCTTAGTTTTGGGGTTACAACAAAAAATATTTTTTATTTTTCTAAAACATGAGAACAAAACATGCTTGTTCTTTGTGAATTTCCATTTACAGAAAATAATTATGTACAATTTTGATAATTGAACATTTTAAAGAGAATTTAATAGAAATTAGTAACTAGATGAACTAATAATTAATATAACGGCAAGTTTCAGCCCTAGCAGTCAAAGAAGCTCAAGCATGTATACTTAACACACACTGTGTCATTCCAAAGGGCCCAGGAGAGTGAGAAGAGTGAAAAGAGGCTTGCTAAGAAGAAGAAGCCCAAGAAGAAAGAGCGACTAGAGGAGGAGGCTGAGGAGGAGGGCGGAGAGGAGGTTGAGGGGGGCTGGGAGAAAGTGAAGGGAGGTGCCCCTATGGTCAAGGTAAAGACGACATTGTGATAAAAAGCCTGTTTAGATGTACTGCATTGAGATAGAACAAAAGATGGTACACCCGTTTATATTTGGAGCTTGTAAAGTACCGATTGTATTAAAAGAAACACCCAAATAATGTGAATCAACAAATTATATCAATATTTGTTATGTCATGTGATGTATTCCAATAATCAGGAAAAGCCTAAGATGTTTGCCAAAGGCACAGAGATCAACGTACCAGTGGTGGTGAAGAAGCTCAATGAGATCCTACAAGCAAGAGGCAAAAAGGGCACAGACAGGTATCACCCCATAATACATTCCCATACGTTCCCTTTCCTGTTTCATTATGTATTGTATATTATTTTCAAAGACAGTCATTGTTATAGCAATTTCTCTGATCTCATCCCACTCTCTGTCCGACAGGGCTGCCCAGATCGAACTTCTCCATGCTCTGGCAAACATCGCTGCCGAGAACAACTTGGGCCAAGGTATCATGGTCAAGATCAAGTTCAACATCATTGCCTCCCTGTATGACTACAACCCCAACTTGGCAGCCTTCATGAAGGTAGGAGCCATTGTTTCTCTAAATGTTACAATTGCTTTTAAATTCAGGGTTAGTTCCTGGAAAAGTTAGATTTTTCGATTAAATGCAGCAAAATATATTTTACTTTCCATTTAGCCGGATATGTGGAAGAAGTGCCTGGACTGTATAGATGAGCTGCTGGACATCCTCTTTGAACACAACAACATCTTCATCGGGGAAAACATTGCAGAGGACAGTGAGAGTCTGATCATCTCAGACCAGGTTTCCCATCTTCTGTTTTCTGATTGTCCTGACCAAAACTGAATCATTGTAACTGTGTCTTTTGTATCTGTATTTTTATGATCTGTTGTTTATATTATTTGGTTTGTCTACATTATTCTCATTTATAGCTTAAAATGGAAATAGTTTACCTTCTGCACAAGATTCATAATTTGTGGTCGTGTCTTGTTAGAAGATGGCATTGCAATAAAATCTGTGTTTGTCAGCCATTCAGGGTGCGTGGATGCATCTTAACACTGGTAGAAAGGATGGATGAAGAGTTTACCAAAATCATGCAGAACACCGATCCCCACTCACAAGGTGAGAATTATTTTTAATGATGAGTTTTATAATTTTAGATGTAAAAGTAAATCATAGAATATTGGAAAATTAATGTTGGTGCAAGAATCCTTGAAGTGTGTTTGTGCATCATTTCCAGCTTTTCCTGGTAACTCATTGCTTTCTTGTCTACCTCTAGAATATGTTGACAATCTGAAAGATGAGGGACGAGTGTGTGGCATCATTGACCGGCTGCTCAACTACATGGAGAATAAGGGCAGCACAGAGGAGATTTGCCGCATATACCTGCGCAGAATCATGCACACCTACTACAAGTTTGACTACAAGGCTCACCGACGCAGCCTGGGCCTCCAGGCAGAGTCCAAGGTGAGAAAAGCACAGAAGTGGAATATTCCATCATCAGATCTTCAATATGACAAAAACTTTAGAACTACAAATTATATTGACCTAAATCAAGAAA